ACCCGTGCCAGCGACGCAACTCCATCAGCGGCCGGCTCGCCTCTGAGCTCCGGCCCCCCATCTCCCAGGAAAAGAGCACTCTCGAAAGAGGAGGTCTTGGGCCTGCAGCAAGACCTGATCGTGGAGTTCTCGTCGCCTGCTTTCCAAAAGGGCCTGCGCCAAGCATCCAGCCTCCACGCCGCCGGCAAGCACGCCGAGTACCAAGAGGCGCGTCAAGCCCTGGTGCGGGATGTGCAGCGGAGCATCATCCCCAAGCATGGCTTCCCAGCCACGGACAAAGGCGTGGAGCAGATGCTCTTGGCTGTGGAGGACTTCCGGAACGACCCCGACGTATCTGTCAACCGACAGATCATCCAGGAGCACTTGTCTTCCTGCGAAGCGCCGGCGGCTAGCGAGGACAAGGCGGCCCTGCCGCTGGGCCACGACAAGAAGGTTCTGGGCAAGCGTGTTACTTGGTCAAGAGTTTGCAGTTCACAGTTTTCCTTGTTTCTTTGTGATGAAGGGCTTTCAGCCTGTTTGGAGGGTCGTGGGGGCTTCTTACTTGGGATCCTGGTGGGGTAGCTGCAGTCATAACCGGTTATCACAAAGCCTAAAGCCAAATGAGCCTTCAAATCAGGACATGGTTCGGCTGCTCAAGAGCCTTCAGGCCAGCTTCAGCGAGCCTCTGTTCCAGGAGCTTCCCAGCAGAGCCCAAAACCTTTAACATCTCATCATGAAGTCGAATTAGGGCAGATTGGGGGGTTCGTTCTGCTGTGCTTTCAGGCATGACTGAGCTAGCCTTGGCTTAGGCTGCTGCCAGCTGCTCCCAGCTGCTCCCAGTTCTGTTCTTGTCGTCTCCCTGGCTTGGGAAGTGTTGAGAAGCAGGGTCGGGACTAGGCAGGCTCTTGGGACATGTTTCCCTTTCCGGGCTCACAAGAGGATCCGCCTTAAAAGGTGTGTCAGAGAGGGTTTCAATGGGCCCACCCAGAGGAGGAGCTGGAGAAGCTGAAGGAAGCTGACAAGAAGACATCTGGCAAGGCGGCGGCCAGCGGCTTCCTCCAACTCCCTGGGCGAAATGAGCTCGCTTCTAGGACTCCGGGGCATTGTTTGTCTTTTCTTCCCTTCTTGGGTTCGGTTCGAGAGGGTCCCATCGAGGAATGATTTGTTTCAGTTGGCTTTTTAGAGTTAGACCCTAAGCCCTAAACCCCTCAAACCCCCAAAGCCCCTTACTCAACAACCTGAGCGCTGAAGGGGCCAGCCTAGGCTTTCGTCATCCAGGCGAAGTTGGCCCCCTGCTTTGGCTTTGAGGCCAGCAACTCGCAGCACTTTGGGGTTCCTTGGGTTTCAGGGTTTCGGGTTTCAAGGTACAGGGTTGAGGGCTTAGGGTTTGGGGTTTAGGGTTTGGGGTTTAGGGCTTCAGGGGTGAGGGTTAGTGGTTTGGGGGGGGTTTAAGGTTTAGGGGCTAGGGCCGCTTGCGGACCACTCTTCCGTGAAACCTTCACACCTCCAGCTCGACGGTCGGATCACCTATAGGTTTTGGTTGCAATGCTTTGGTGGAACAGTAGGGAAACTGTCGTCGTACTTGGTCAACCCGACATACAACTACCCATGAACCTTGAAGCGGGGCTTACACTCACAATCCCCGAGCCCCGAAACCCTCCCCGAAGCCCAGGCAAAGAGGGCGTGCTGCACATGATCTCCACGTGTGGGAAGTTCCTGAGCGACCCCGAGGTTTCCGAGCTCTTCGACGCCGTCAACGCGCGCGGCCCTCAGGGCTTGTGATGCCTTCTAAGAATCTAGGAGGTATACTCGCAAGAGCAGCCTCTTGCCCCAAAAGGCTTTGTTGGAACCATCATGGGGAAATTTGAGGCCTTAGGAGAGCCTCAACCCCAAAGCTACTCCCATCCTGAACTTCCCAGACATGTTGTCAGCGAAGCCCTGCTGATGCAAGTCACTGGTTTCAGGAGATCCCCGATTCATGGACAGGCATTTCAATTTTGATCCTTTTTACGCGGCGCGTTCTAGTACGGAACCTTTTCGTCAGGGTACAAAAAAGGGACCACAAAGAGAACTGCTCTTAATTTGGTCCTGTTTACTGGTATGCTTGTGTGGGTCCATAGTAACTGGGAAGAAGGCATAGCCCTTTGCATTGCCGTTCACGGTGTGCAGCCAGCACGTTTGGTTGGGGGTCAACATCTCGAAATGCTTTCGCATCCTCTCCAAATTCCAAATGGGTTCATGCTCCTGTTCAGCTTCTGCTGGGGGAAGGCGCTCGCGGGACTTTGAAGAGGTCATGGGTTCTGCAGGGACATGAGGCTCGTGCAGGTAGCTGGAAGGATTTAGGGATACTGTGATCAGGTTGAGGTGAGTGTGTTCCTGTTCTCTTCTGCTGGATAAGGCCCTTGTAACCCTGAATCCAGAATGGAACATGCAAGTTCATGGCACGCGGCCCAGACTTTTTAGCCTCAGTGGGGTTGATGTTGCCAGCGGTGACTACCACTTGGACCCCTAAAACCTGAACAATTAAGGCCCCACTCTGCTGCCCCTACAGCTCTGACTACTTATCTGGGAATGAGGGACGAGGTTCCATCCATCTCAAGGCACTCTATCCAGAGCCAGATTTCCTAGCTCCCCAGTGTCCAGTAAGCCAAGCCCTAAACCTTAAAGCCCTCCGACCTTAAACCCCAAACCCTAAACCCGAAACTTTAAAGCCCTCAGACCAGGAAGTTGGGAATGACCCCGGCGGCGTGCAAGGCTTTCCGCGCGAAAGTTGCATGAAGGACCGCGCTTTCTGGGTGTTTTCGGTTTCCTGGCACAGGCCCGGCGTTGCGGTACCCAGAGACTCCAAGACTGTAAGTAAGGAATATGTGTTCCTTCGGCAATTATCGCAGGAACCTGATGCCAAAGGAGCATTCCGTAATTCAGGGTATTGGAGCTTGAGGGTACGAGGCTGGGTGGCCATGAGGGTTTTGGAGTAATGGGGCTGTCAGGATGTCGGGTTGCGGCGTAATCGTACGGCCCCTTATGCGGTTTAGGGTTGAGAGCAGTGCGATTGAGTGCCACAATCTGTCAGACATCAGCCCTCAACTTGCAAGGTCTCAGATTTGAGGGGTTTCGGGCTTCGGGTTCCAGCTCAAACCCTAGAGCCCAGATGCCCTGGCGTGCCCATGTTCCCATATTACAGAGTTAAAGTCCCATTTCAGCCGAATCCCCTCCCTTTCCCAATGAATCCAGGGTTTCCCCCTCCCCACTCCTCTACTTCAAAATCCGAGACGAATCTGCAGGCCAAAAGGCTCCAAGCGTTGTGACCACCGGGCCGGCCGGGTTCTGAAGGATTCCTGCCGGTCCTTCCGCGTATTTGTCGAGAAGTCGAGGGTTTAGGGCTTAGGAGCTTCACTTTGGGTTCACTTCGGGAGCTTCTGGGTCCAGGGGATTAATTGAGGTTTCGGGGTTGCACCCGAAGCTCGAGCTACGGACAGCCTGCCAAGTTCACCACCCTGCAGGGAGTTTCTCATCACTCATCAGCCCTTTACTTGCAGTAGCACCCATTCGCTTTTCGGAATGGCTGAAACCTTACCTGCTATGTCCGTGACTTCGACATGTACTCGGCAGGTGGGACACCCGAATTGGTGACAAGGTTAGGCATCCATGTCGTAGACGTATCGTTAAAGACCTACTTGCCCGTGTTGTAGTCATACTGGGGCTTGCTTAGACACCCTAAACAATGCGCTCCTACATCCAGAGCCACCATCTATTGCATCGGAGCTTAACCTGCACTCACCGGCTGCACAGTTTTGGACCACTCCGTTGGCCAGGTGCCTTAGTTGGACTTTTTGCCGCGGCTTTTTGTCTCAACTGCTGCATGAAGGAGGGATGAACCGGATGAGGGTCTAGGGATAGAGCTGGCACTTTCGAGGCATGTAGGGAAGGATCTGTGACGTAGTTGTCGGTCTGGGAAGCAGTGGCGGGAGTCCCTGAAAGTACAAGAGGCAGAAGCAGCACTTTTCGCATCATTCTAGTGATTTACATTCCTTGCTGCAAGAGGTCATCCGTTAGACTGAATACTCGGCAACAGGACTCCCATGAAAGTGGTCTATTCATGAAGGTTTGGCTCTGGATAAGCAAGGCTTGATTGTTGCCCGCAATACATGTCAAAGTTAAAGAGTCCACCCTAATCTTCTGTGCAGCCTGACCTCCACAGACCGGATGTGTACGAGTGCATAGTCGAAGAGTCGAACGACATACATCCCTAAGCCCTAATCCGGGGAAAGCGCAAGTTCCCAAGAGAAGTGGCAATTTTGGGGCGACAAGCACCCCCACAGCTGCAACGCGAGGAGAAAACATGGTTAGGGTTTGGATGTTAAGGGTGTGCAGGGCACAGGGTTTTTAGTAGGGTTTAGACTCACAGCTGCCTCGCGGCGGCCCAAGTATCAGCCATACATTTGCTTGAATATCCAGTGCTGCTGTTGCTATGGCTGCGATGTTGCATTTCACAGAAGGTACCCTGTGTCGAGAATTACGCCGACCTTTTGTCAGTTTGGGTTCCAGAATCTTTTAGATTTGCGAGTTAGGGTTTGGGGTCTAAGCGTGGGTTGCTGGAACTGAAGGTCAAGTCAACATACCCATTAGTATGTAATAGGTGCGATGGTTTCCTTATTCCGCCACAGCCCAGTACCATCAGGGCATCCCGCGGGGGCCTCCTCGCTACAGAAGTACTGGCAAAGCCCTACAATCATAAACCTTAATTAAGAGGTCGCAGTCAGAGGCCTAGACTCAGAGTGCAAGGGAATCGGGTGCCCCAGGAGCACCCGGCCTGTAGCTCTGGTTTTGACATGTTGTCTTTGGTGGCCCCTTGGTCCGGGCAAAGGACCTCAGGGAGCCACACGCACTAGGGAATATTAGCGGAGGTTGGGTTACCTAGCCTCCTCTCTCAAAAACTTCATGGTCCTCAGGTTGTAAAAGGTTTGGTTCATAGATTTGTGGTTGGGCTATTTCGATCCTGCCTTGTGATGCGAGCCCAGGCCGTTTATTGGCGGCTGTACAACAACCTCTACATCGGATCTCAGGACTTTCTATAGGAGTAAGGCTTGCAGGGTTTAGGGGTTGAGTTGCTATCTTACACTCTAAAACTTGGGGCATAAACCTAACTATTGGGTGTAACCCTGCACCCTAAACCCAAGCCTTTGGCCAACGACTTGATGTGTTTGAGGCTCAAACACTAAACCGATTGAACCCTAAGTTTCTCACAGACCACGTGTCTCGAACGAAACTTGCAACGACCACATCTGACGCTGCAAGCCCTACAAAATGCTACACTTTGCTTGCAGCTCGAACCACCACTTGAGTACTTTTAAGTATGGTTATAAGCAGGGCAGCTGCATAGGACCTTCAAGCAGGGTTCAAGTTTGTAGGGGGCTTGGGGTTTTTGGGCTGCCCTTAAGGCTTTCAGGTTACGAGTTCAAGTCTTTCCCTGCGGGACCGTGGGTTTCAAATCCGGGTTCGAGGTTGGGTCACAAGCCCTAGGCCGCAAGCCCAAACTGGCCCAAACCCTCCAGCATTTCAGCCCCAAAATCCTTCCAGGATGCCTTGATCCCCTCCTACCCGAAGCTGGAAGATGATTCTGAGCACTGCTACCGCCGAACGGAGCTTGAACTCCTCCTCTGAGCTGCGCTACTGTACCAAGCGGCTTTCATTCTGGATTTGTGTTGCTTATCGTGTTCAGTTTTTTGTCCCTGTGTGTGTGTGTGTGTGTGTGTGTGTGTGTGTGTGGGTGTGTGGGTGTGTGTGGGTGGGGGGGGGGGGGGCGATCACGGGTCATTGGGTGCTGCCTCGGGGGCAGAACCCGGAATATAGCAGGCAGGAGTCAGGAACCATTTCAGGAATCACCGTGCCAATCCTCATGTGATTCGGCCCGCGGCAGAGATGCAATCTCATTTTGTAGGGTTGAGAACTTATGTGGTGTAGGCCTTCGGTTCCATCTCAAGTAGGCAGCTCTCTTTTCCGCAAACCATGAACCTGCTTCAGGGCCTCTAGGCTTTCTCGCGGTGTTTATTACGAGAGTTTCGGGATCCTTTTGCTTTTGCAGCCCAAATCGCATGAGAAAGTCTCCTGCCCAAGCGGCATGCCAATTCACATGACGATCTGGTAGCATGAGCCTGAATTAGGTTCTGACTCTGCATTAACTTAACCCTGAACCCTGCTTTTCTTGTGTTTGTGTTGGTCCTTCTTTGGTTCCGGAACTTGTCCTACAACCGGTTGAGCTTCAGGGTGTAGGGTTTGGAGGCGTTTAGAGCTTTAGACTTTCGACATTTTGGGGTTTTGGGTTTAGTCTTTAGGCTTTGGGGGCACGTTGAGGGCTTCGGTGCACGCACCTCTCTCTCTCTCTCTCTTTCACTTTCTCTCTCTCTCTCTCTCTCTCTTTCCTTCTTTGTTTGTGTATGTGTGTGTGTGTGTGTCGGGGGGGGCGGGCTCGGGCTAGGTTTACTGGGTTTGTCAAGAAAAGTACTTCTTCAAAGTACCCCCGCTGGCGAGGAGAGGAGGCGTTTCTGCGCGAGCAGTGTGGGGCGCTCGCTAGGGAGCGTCTGGCACTGTGCCACGAGCAGTAGTTCAGTGATTCCTGCGCATGCTGAAGCAAGCAGGAATCAGCACATATCATCGCCGCGGCTCTTGACTCGATGTGGACACAACTATCCACAATTAGAACGGTTCCCGAAGAGATCAGAGGCCGAGGGCCACACCACTTGTAGTACAAGCCCTTACAGGGGTTTGCTTCCCTGATACACCCTGACAGCCCAATCAGTGCAGCCTTGATTCTCTGGTTTCTGACGCGTAGAGAACGTAGAGCTAAACCCGACCCTGAAGCGAAGGGTTTCAGCTATCAGGGCCGCGACCATGAGTCCACACCAGCCGGTCTTTGTACAATGTGCGCTCTCATATGACAGCATGGACGCTTGCGGGCACTTTCTGGCAAGTGCGGGAGGAAGACCGCTCTGGTCGCTGAGCAAGCGGCGTTAAGAGAAGTAACTGAAGCAGAATACAGCTCAGCGGCCGACGAAAAGAGTGTGTATACATACATATACGTATACATACATATATATATATACAGACAATGTATGTATATATATATAGATCGCATGCATGCATGTTAGGACATCTAAATGTCGAAATGTACGAAAGTTGAGAAATGAGATTATCTGCGTGCTGGAAGGTGTGTATGCGGTAACTTGTTGTGTGCCAACTCCGACTCCTGAGGGAAGGACAATCCCCCGGCGCTCAAAAAGCTTGCGTGAATCGTCTGCCTGGGCCTTCCGCTGCCTGCCCCCTTCCCCCCCCCCCCCCAAAAGAAAAACACATGTAGCAGCAATAAAATGTGCCGCGTGCTGTATGTATACGAAGGGCCATATTTCTGGGGTTCTCGTTTTTACCAGTCTGGGCGACGAAGCCCCAAACCCCGAGCTGTATTTTTAAGTATTTGAAAATATCCAGTGGCTGCAGGCCAGATGCAGGGTTCGCGACTGCTTAGGATCCTGATCGTTGTTTTCATGTTGACCTTTTTGTGTAATTGTTGCACGTCCAAAAAACTACAAAGCCCTGTGAAGGCTTGTCAAGTCGTTCAGTTTGCAGGAGCTGTCATGGGGGGCACCAAGAACCTACTAGTACTTAGAGACCAAAACAGGGTGACAAGCGACAACCGCAACTAGCTGTCGCCGTGTCAAAGGAATCAGCCGTGGCAAACCTGCGACCTGATGTTGCGAAACATATGGCGTCGAACTGATCAATCAAGTGATGTGAACCAAACTTCTAAGTTCTTGGGACAGTGGTGGGAAGACAGTCGGGAAGTTGGAAGCAACGCTGCTACTGGCACAGTTTCATACTGTTTTCATTCTCTGTACCTGGGTTTGTGGGTTATAGGATTTGCGTTTTCTCCGCATTTGGTGACTCTGTAATGCTGTAGGCTTGAGATCCCCCCCTCCCCTCCCCCCCTCCCCCTCCCCTCCCCCCTCCCCTCCCCCCCCTTTCCCCTCGCCTCCTTCACCCCACGACATTGAGCCATCGGAGGGTATTGTAAATCACGGACTCTTTCAAGTCAAGGGTTTCATGATCACAAGCTACCTTCAGGGGGACCGAGCGATCCCTTTAGAGATCTGCACTTGGCGCCGCTTTGCATATGACAGCTTCGTGAACTCAGCTCTTGCTGACCCACCATCCTACTCCTGAGACCCTCAACTCCCCAACCCTTGAGCCCAGAAGCCCGAACCCTCGTAAGTGAACCCTAAAACTCTTGTTGGTCTATTTTGGGAGAGAGAAGGCTTTCAAAGGTCTTGAGGGTTCTCAGCCCTTCAGTCGCCCACCTCGCGGAACTCCTTAGAGCTTAGGATTTGAGGGGGCTTAGCGTTGAAATGCTGAAGCCTATAACCCTGCTGCCCAAAGCACCTGATCCTGCCATGGCCGCTGTTCTTGGAGCGACAAGAATCAGAAAGCAGCCGCCTCGGAAGAAGATTAAGGAAGATACAGTTGGGGACCATTATATGGTGAACCCTGAACCCTAAACCCTAAACCCTAAACCCTAAACCCTAAACCCTAAACCCTAAACCCTAAACCCTAAACCCTAAACCCTAACACGCCTGCCCCCTCTCTTTGTAAGTCACAATGAAGGGGGAACCTCGGGTGGGGGAAGTCGGGGATCACATGAATTATGCGCCCAAGTGGCCGAGGTTGAGGCAAAGAGCCATAGAGAGATGGAAGCTCATGGCCGGGGCTGCTAAGGAACAAGTTGTCAATGGTTTCCCAGCCTGAGAAGGAATCGTTCCAGCGGATGTTTAGGCCCTTTGATACGGTCGTTAAAGGGTAGGTCGTTGGGACATCATGTCATCTGTCTTCCTGTCTGGAGCGCTTTCACAGCTTCAGGCTTGGATGTTGATAGCAGCTCAGTTCCTCAAGTCCAAAAGCCCCGAACCTCGGTAGCCCTAAACCCCAAACCCTAACGTCGCAACGTAAACCCTATCCTGAACCAGATCAGGCGCCCAAGCCCAAAGCTCTCTACAACCTAAAACCCACAATACCAGCCCAGCAGCCTGATGCTTCACGTACACCACACCCAAGAACTTCCTCCAGACCACCCTAGGTACTCCGGATAAGTTAGGTGTACTTCAGGGCTTTGCCGCCTGTTCACGTATACAAATCTCCTTCAAGGTACTGTAAGTATACCTAAGGCTTGCTGGACTGTGATCTCGGGGCTTTTGTTGGGTTGACGCCTAAACCCTAAACCCTGAACCCTGAAACCTAAACCCTTAACCCTAAAGCCTAAACCCCAAACCCCAAACCCCAAACCCCACACAGACTTTGGACCCCCCAGAGCCGAAGGCGGAGCTGCCTCCACGGTTGGTCGGCTATCCCGTAGCCACAAGGCGCATGGGGTGTAGCACCCCCCTAAGAATTACATCCATGGATACAGTTCACTATGATTGAATTAAGGGTTTAGGGTTTGGGGTTTGAATCTGCAAAGGTTAGGCTTCTGGGGTTACAGAAGCAGATGCGCTGTTTGGTGTCGAGTCCTCCAATGACCAGGGCATGTTCGGAAGCTTACTTATGTGTTGCGTAACAGCACGAGGCCCTGCATTCCGAAGTCCCGCGAAAGCCCTCCAAGTTGGCCAAGCCACCCCGCCCCCCCCCCCCCCCCCCCCCCCAAAAAAAAAAAAAAAAAAAACACAAACAACGGGTTTCCGGTTTAGGGTCTAAGCTTACTGGGCCCTATGGACCGGAACAGGCGCCCGCTGCCGGCCATGGTCAAGGGAGATGTCAAGGTGGCGGATGCGCAGAGGGCCCGGCGGTCGAACCCCAACGCCCTATTGGGCTTTGGGTTGAGGGTTTCGGGTGTTTAGGGGTTCCGAGTCCCTAAACTTCAGTTCTCCAGCTTGTTCGTCCCTCAACTTTGCCCTAAAACAACCCAAGCCTCAACCCGGTTCCCCTTGGGGTTTGGGCTCGGGGCCCTGGGTTGAGAACCGGTTTACACCGATGTTAATCTGACTTTAAGGGTGGTGTAGGGCTCCACAAAATCCCAGTTGCCTGGCTGTCTCACCTGCGTGGTACCATTCTGCAGACAGTCTTCGTCGTTAGCCCCAAGCCAAGATCCACTGTGGACCGCATATGGGAGCTTCAGGAAAGGTGCACGCGAGGAGGATTAGCGAACATTCTGTCGCCTGATGGCCGGTTCCCTTGTGTGGAACCACCTGGCAAAGCGAGATGAGCTGGAGAAAGCAGATCTGATCATGGGTTTTGGACATTTCGACATTCGTGTGCCACAGCATTGCGCAGCTTTATACAAGGAGGGCCGGGCTCCAAAGATCGTATTCACGGGTGGTGTTGGCAGCGGGTCTGCTGGCCTCAGCCAGCCTGAAGCAGAGTTCTTCAAGGAGGAGGCCTTGCGGCTCGGAGTTCCGCTTTGCGACATCATAGTCGAGGCTGCATCAACGAATACTCCAGACAACGTCAGATGCAGCATGGAGGTCCTCGTCAATCTGGGATATGATGAAGTCGAGGTCAGGAAATCTCGCGTAATTCTCGTGGCAACGCCGTATCGACAACGCCGAGTGCATCTCACTTGTCGGAAGCACTTGCCTGACGCAAGATTGCAGAATTCTCCTCCGATTTCGGACTACACCACGGATCAAGCCATCTTCAGCACCAAAGGACAGCATCTGGACTTGCTATTGGCCGGTGAGGTGGATCGCATCTTGTTGTATGGAGCAAAAGGAGATATTCAACACGAGCATTTGCCTTCAGAGATTCAAGAAGCTGCAGCTGTTGCGGCTGCTGCTGTGGCGGCCTTACCTCCAAGCACAACTGAGTGAGTTCTCGGCTCTCGTTGCAAAATCTGGGGCATTCTGAAGTCGCAAAGCCAAGTGGTCGGACTTGACAAAGACGGCGAGCGTGCCATCCTCCGGAGCTGGAAATTTCATGTCGCTTAAGACGCCTAAGCCTTCAAACTATGTATCTACAGCCCTCTTAGAAATGATGTCCTGTGTCTTCGTGTTTACATAAGACCCATGGTTTTTAAAAAAATTCTGGCCAGGAATTCAGGTTATCATCAGATTTCCGCAACGTCTCCTGCACGGAGCCCGAAAACCCCAAAGCGCCAAATGTAGGAGGTTGTGAGAGATGACCGTCTGCACCACCAATGGCGGCCGAGCCGTAAACCCGAAGCCTTACGTCAAGCCCTGAGCTCTGAACCTTGAAACCCTCAACCCAAATTCTGAGCACCAAGTCCCAAGCCGTAATACCTGAACCCTAAAGCCTCCTCATACATCCTGAACCCCTAATCCAGAACTCTTAGAAGATCATTCCCGTAAGTTTTGATTCCCAATTCCTAAACGTGAAGCCAGCCTCTACTATCTGCACCCTCGTGAAATCCTCAACATTACAAATCAGGTTCAGTCCTACCCCAAACCCTAAACCTGAAACCCCGAACTCCGAATTCCTCAGCCCCCAAACCCTAAGTTCAAAATGCCACTACCAAACCTTATCCCCTCTAGATGTAGGTGCTGCAATCTACGCCACACCCTCCAACCGCAATCAAGAACCCTACGCCAAAACCCTAAACCTTTACCCCCTAGAGCCCCTCAGTCGGGAACAGAACTCCCAGGCCAGAGCCCAAGCGGAACTCGCGCGGCGAAGAGCTCGTCGACGAGACGAGCCAACGGGTTCATCAGACGCGCCTTCGACGTACAGCTTGTGGTTTCTTGTTTAGGGCTCCTGTGCATTAGCAAGGCTTAAGAACTCATTATTTGAACACAACTTGTAGTTTTGGATTGTCTCTCGGGAGGCTTCGGGACCTAGGGTCTTCCAGGCATGCTTTTACGTGCAACTTGCCGTGCGTTAAGTTCATTCGATTTTGGTTGGGGAGTGCCTGTCATTCGTGGCCTTTTTCGGAGCATATTTGAGCTGCGAGCCAAGAATCTGAACGGACCTTGCCACAAAGGACATGTGTGTGTGTGTGTGCTGCGGACACCCATCAGGCCTTTTCGTGTTTGGGGTGCGACGTGGGTTGATGCGAAAGAGCTCCCAACATGAAAAATTAAGAAGCTCAAAACTCCGAGAGTCGGAAGTGCGACTGTCTTGGATGCCAAGAGAGCTGCAAGCCGAGGATACAGAAGGCTGGCGCAAATGCCCGACGCCCAGTAGTCGAAGCTGCGTGGCCTCATGCAATCATGCAATCCCTAAGCCCTTAAATACGCCCTACAAGCCCCATGAATTACTCGAGAAGCCCATCGAAGCCTTGTAGCCTCTATGCCTAACCCGATGCAAGCCCTGGGCCCCTGAAACTCTGCATCCTCATCCCAGAATTGGGGCGATCATCAGAAATCATAAGCCGAACATGCTCCACTTATGTACCTAAAGAATGCTCGGGCTTTGGTAAAACATAGGGGGCTTTAGGATCTAGGTTTTTGTGTAAACAAAGCATGCAAAACAGTACAGCCAGGCTCTAGAGTTCTTAACCCCTACTTCCAAAACCAACATCTGTGCAAGAGGCGTCACAGCGTAGCTTGAGCATTGAGCTTCAATCAGTTTCGGGCAAGAGGACTGAGGGAGTCCAAAGCTCGTGAGACCCTTGGGGGCTTCGGGTTTGGGGTCCAGGTCAAAGTGAGCCAATGTTTCTGGCTTGTTGTGTTGTGTCAAAGTGTGCCCCCCCCCCCCCCCGCCCCGCAAGTCGTAGAATGCGCTTCGATTGAGCCTGACTACACGACGAGTTCCCTGTGGTCGGGCTTGGGAAGTTACTGCTTGCAATGCAGGGGACTGCAGGATGCAGAAGGTAGGACGTAACATCCTTTCGGTGAGGCTTTTTTTCCTTGTTTTTACAGGATGGAGTTCAGTCAGTGACATGGAAGGCCTGGCTAAAGCTTCGCACCGGGCTTCGATACCCATCGCTGTACCCTCAAACCCGAGCCACCCTGAGCACATCCTTCGCCCTGGCACCGCTCTGGCTCAAGCATGGGAGGGTCTCGGCCCTTTCCATTTGCAGGCGGGGCCTGAATCTTCAAGCCCAAGCTTTGGTGCGGAAACCTTTGGAGTGTAGAGGGCATCTCTTAAGGACAAGCCCCCTTTCAATCCAAAGGCTTAGCCCTTTTCCCGCTGGAGAACTTGGCCGGTGAGTAGTGACTGAACGGGGAGTTCCGACCCCGAACGTGACGTGTTGTTAGACTTGGAGTGTCTGGGGCCAAAGAGCCATAGTGCTTAGACGTGTATAGATTTTTAGGCACTGAGGTGCGGGCTTTCAGGCTGGGGAGGGGGAGCGGTTTTTAAACCTCACCGTTAGACAGTTAGACTGGGCAGGTCATTGCGAGAACTTTTCAAGTTTGGGATTCTTGTCGAGAAGCGATGCTCTTAGTCCTACTGCCGTATAGGCCCTGCACTCAAGACCCTGAAGGCTCAGGCCAAAGCCCATACCTTCGCCCTCAGACCAACTCACGTGTCTGTGTGGGCTCCGGAGTTTAGGGTTTAGGGTTGGTGCTGGAACCCTATGCCCTAAACCCTGAACCCTAAACCCTCAACACTACCCCCCCTCCCCCAACCTCCCTGCGCAAAGCCAGGTTACGGAATGAAGTTGGCGGCCCTCCTGGCCGTGCGACTCCGACGCATGAACTGGGCTGTGGTTAAGTGAGGAAATGCGTGAAGCTAAACTAGAAATTGTGTTGGGTCTGTACTCCTTATATCGTTAGATAGTTTCCTTGTTTTGGTAAAATCATAGAAGGTCCATGTTCAAGCTCAAGGTCGAGGGTTTATCGCAAGACTCCGATGCACTTTGTTCGGGGGCTTGCTCGTAGTCCCATACGCCCAAGGCCCCTAACTAGGCCCTTACCCAAGCAAACCCATAAACCCCTCGCTTGGTCATTGCGAACTGCCCAACACCCCAATTCCTAAACCCCACAATCGGGTGGGAATGCATGCTTCCGGCCCCGTCGTGCCTTCAGCGTTTCAGTCTAGGGTTTAGGGTTTGTTTTTGTGCTGCGAGGTTCTACCATGATTCTAGATATGGAGTCCATGTAGGGGTCCCTATTTCTCTTCGGCAGATGGTTGGAGATCTCAGAACGAGTCGGGAGAGCCACAAACTTGTTGAGCGCCTGCATTTCCTTTAGCCCCGCTCTAAGCGTCATAAGTTTCTTAAGTGAGTAAGGTCTTTTAGCAGCAGCTTTTCTCTCAAAATCCAAAGGCTAGCAACCTGTTCCTTCTGGCTAACTGAGCCAGTAAAGGTTCCATTCACAGGTGTCCCCAAAACCTCCCCTCACCCCTCCCCCCTTCCAGCCCCGATTACTTTTTGGGACTGGAACCTCTGAGCCTTGGCACCTCTGATCTCTGATCTCTTGAGGTTGTGCGCCCAGGTCGGGGCAGAGGCCACATATTGGGGGCAAACTCGAGAGTGTGTCATGGGCCGTTTAGGGTTTAGTTTTTGAGTTTATGGGGCCCAGAGGGCTTCTGGAGCCTATAGGGCTTGTCGGGTGTATAGGGTTTCTGCACGGTTTTTTGGGCTTTTTGGTGTGTTTCTGACGGAACACGATTGCAGGAAGCGGGGCGCGCCCACCTGACAGTGTGTCCTAAGTCTTTGGGTGAGGGCGATCTGACCTCCTATCAACACCCATTTTGGCGGCGGCGTCGGGGCTTGTTGGCTTTGGGTTGTAACACTGTGGGCTTCGGAACCTGTGCAACGGTACCTTCGGTATATAGGGCTTATATGAGATGTATGCGGGAGTTACATAGGGTAGTCGGATGCCCTGAACTCCAAACCCTTCTAAGGGTCCCTCCTCGTATCTCTTGGCAGATCCTGGGTGACAAGCCGGAGAGCAAGTTCGGGCTTGCCACTTTGACGAAGACTTCTGTTTGGGTTTTGGGGGTGTTTACGGCTCTCAAACCGTGGTGTTTAGGGCGCAGGCCTTCAGAACTCTTAAGCTGAATTTAGGGCTCAGGGCACTTTAGGGCTCTATCGGCCCTATGCCCTGAACCCTAATCTTTTTGTTGGGCGTCGGGTCGCTTTCCTCGGTAGCTTAGCTAGAAGTCCTACGCCCGGTTTTTGTTTTAGATTAAGGTTAAATCCTAGATACTAAACCCTGCTAAGGGTTTAGGCTTTTGGGGTTTAGAGATCTGATTCGCTGTTTCAACCAGCGGGCCTTCAAAGGACCTGCACTCAAGCCCGCAGGGCGGCTAGTGAATGTAGGCTAAGGCTACCTCGTCCCCGAGCTGAAGTTACGGCGAGCACACTAGGTACCCCAAGAACAGGAACCATCGTGGGTCCAAGAGCGCACTAGATCTTTAAACCCCAAGCCTAAACCAGACATGTTCGGTAGTCTGGTTTAGGCTACCAGAACCCACTCCACGTCTCAGGTCTTCAAATGCTTTTTCATGGGTAGCCGAAGTATCATGTGCTCCATACCACACTCCGATGCGCGAGAAAGGGACCGCAATTTTGAGGGTCGCCAACCACATCGCCAACATCAGTGCCCCGACCCGCGCCCGAGAGGGTAGAATACCTGAGACCGCCCATCCATTGGAGAAAGTAACTCTAACTTCACCTTTCCGGTAAATTTTTCACATCCCTAGCCCTAGACTAGACCCTGGAGTGACCCTCGGCCCAAACCCCTACAAACCCTCAACCACCAAGCAGTGCCCCACACATGGAGGTAGTCTGGGTAAGTCTGTTACGTTAGTGCAGCCTGGGAGGCCTGGGTGCCCTTGCGGGTTTAGAGGGTAGGGTGTCTAAGGCTGTGTGAGAAGGGGATTTAGGCCGCTCAGGGGTGTTTCTGCGCTTGAACTTGGACACTCTGTGGCTCTTGCCGAGGTTATTTCGACTCTGGAGGCCGGCGCGACTTAGGGTTTGGGTTTTTTTTCGTCAATGCCCTTCCTATCTGAAAAAAAACCGAGCTTGCGGGGCCTTTGCCGAGAATCCTCACCCCCCTGAAGCGCAAGTGTTTCCCCCTCAACCCCAAACCCTCAACCCCAACCACACCCTAAATCCCAAGTCCTACAGCAAAACCTGCAGCAGGCCATCGTCAAGAGCATCGACAACGAGACTGCACGGGAAGCAGCGGCCTTCGATAAGTTCCAGGCTGATGTTCCCTACTGGCTCTGAGATGGGGGAAAGAGGCATCCTTATGTCCTCCTTAATGCGCCTTCAATTGAAGGATCCCGAGGACTCCGCAACCTCAACCCAAACTCCTGAACAAGGTTGGTGTGCATCCCGTGTTTCGCGCGATGCGGAAGTTCGGGAATCACAATCCTATGCCCTACTAGAGGGCCTAAACTCTAGATCCTCAAGCCTTGGCCCTACACTCTACATCCTAAAGCCTTCGCCCTAAACCCCAGTGCTTGGGAAGGGTGCTCTAGGAGTTTTTTTTTGTTAGGGCGGCTAGGGGCTGGGTTCACTTGCGAAGGCTGCGGCTCAAGCAGTGTGGGGTTCAGGGGTTTCGGATCTTCCTGTTCACTCCTAAGCCCTAAGCCCTAAGCCCGAAGCCCTAAGCCCTAAGCCCTAAGCCCTCAGCCCTCGAAACCCGAAACCCAAGAGAGCCCCAGACTGGCAGGCCTGGTGCAAGGCAGAGTGTCACAGCTGCACTTGGCGTTCCATTTTGGATTCTTTTGGGGCACCCAGTGAGTTTAGGGGTTAGGGTTCAGGGGTTGAGGGTTTAGGGTTTGGGGTTTAGGGCTTGCGGTTTAGGGTTTAGGGTTTTGCTTTTTTCCTTCAATCCCCAAAACCTAGGACACTTTTGCGACACATGTGATTCCACCACCAGGGTCGACATTGTAGGGTCTCAGGCTCAAGAGGAAAACCAAGCCTAAACAGCCTGGTTGGTTCCCCCCCTTCCCACCATCCCACTAAGCCCCAAGCCCCGACCCGAGTACTGCGTGAGTACTACTCCGAAATAGCCTTACATTCCGAATTTCCTGGAAAAGCCCTGAACTTGAAACCCGAAATTCTCTTTGACCATGGTTCAGGGGGTTCAAGACGTAGCGCTCAAGTGTACTTGGGCATTACAAGCCTTGAGAGTAGTTTTAACCCTTCAATTCATCCAAGAACCCTTACAAATCCACTCCTCCACATCCAAGAGTACCGCAAGCTCTTGTAAACCCTACTCTTAGCCCGAGCTTGCACTTTTCAACCTAACCCTCAAACCCTTCAGACCCAAACAGCAACACCTACACCCTCATCAACCTCACCCTTATACGCTAAACCCTTCCAAACAGCCCTAAACCTTCGACTGATGGGCTGAGGACTGATGGGCTGACGGCGAGCGCGGAAGCTGCCACCTCCAACTCCGAGCAGGTGCCGCTAGCAGCCCTTGCTTGTGTTTTAGGTTTTTGGAGAAGGGAGTTGGGGGTTTAAGGCTGGAGGAGAAGCTGAAGGGGGGGGAGGGGGGTTGGGGCTACAAGCTTCATTGCATGGGTCGCATAAATCATCTGTTCCACTATTGTTTAAGGTTTGGGTTTGAAGTTTAGGCTTCGGCTTCAGAAGTAGGAAAAGCATCTGGTGATTTTCTGTTGGCAGGTTGGCGGAAAGCAAGGCATAGGCTTGAAGGGAGGCATTGGCAGGCCCTTGCGTTGAAGCTTGATGTAAAAGGGAGTGTCTTCAGCACCTGAGGTGTGGGTCGGCGGACTTAGTGTTTAATTGCCCGCATGCGCGGATGGTACAGTCGGCAACAAGGCAGGAGGAGATCGAAAACACCACGTTGGTGAGATTGCTGTCGGCTTCGACTGAATTAGCGCAAAACGATCTACTCCTCGGCTGTGTTTCAGGACAGTCCGCAACAGGACGCTCTGAAGGAATATGATCTTCTAGCGTCGTGTTCTGCGTGGCAATTCTCATTTCTCACATCGCTTGATACGTACAATCAGCCAGCCTTCCCCCAAACCCTTTGATAAGTCCTCAAGCTCAGCACGGCAAGCATCCTACATGCCATATCTGCCCTTGTATACCCCTCAACATAGCCTAAGCAAGGGCACCCCTTTTCTTGTGATACCCAGACGGCTGAAGTCTCGCCTTCGGTTGATGTACTGCTCTTGCACCCTTTGCTGCAAGTGAGCCTTCGAGGAAAAGAAGCCAACACACGAGCTGTGATCATTACCGGTATTTTCCCTCGTAATCCACACACTGCAAAAAAATATGCCTTGATCCCTGGATGTCAACAGCCTTTCACACGATCAACCCCTAAGCCCTAAGCTTCAAACTTAAAGAAGAGCTCAAGTTCTTTGGCCGCAGGGTCAAGGAGCCATCAACTCTCTCCATCAACTTCGCTGCTGACAGGCCTTCGTTACTCTTCGCGAGCTGACGGCGTCACTGGGCTCAATGTCATGCCAGCTGTAGTATTACTTTTAAGGCTCATTGGGGTGTTGTTGAAGTTCTGGGTGCTTGATAGGGTTGAACCTTTAACCCTCACAGCCGCGCATGTGAAGCCCATGTGAAGCAAGACCTGGTGGTTTATAGGTTTCGGGTTTCGTGTGGCTAGTTTCCCTCATATACCTGTATTTACCCGCCCCCCTGATAGCCTTATCTTCAAGCCACCCTGCCTCGGGTTCAATCTGCGGGTTGGTGTCCTAGATCGTTGTCACGGTTTAGTGTTCAGAGTCCATCTGTACGTCTGTACAGTTTTGGGTTCGGCTTGCAAGGGCAGTGCTGGAAACGTGAGATGCGCAAGGAACCCAGCCTTGAGAATGACGCGACTCCCGAGTTTTTGTCAAGGGATCGCAGGGCTTGATCTATCCCTGAGAGTTAACAGGGGCCACCCCAAAACACTCAACCCTGCACTTTGCTGAGCAGAGCGAGGTCCATTTCGACCTTGGAGCATGGTGTCACCTCCCTCACTTCCGACATCAAGACGCTTCAGGAGGGACTTCTTCATGGTCCACAAAAGCAGGGTTCAACACGCAGCTTCACCTTGGTTTTGCCTTCCTTGTCTTCTCAAGGAATCAAGTATTCTACCCAAGAAGACACTGCCTGTCAGACTTTCGGTGCTCAAGGCTCTGGGCTTGGGGTTTGAGGTTTGTTTTGGGGATTCCAGGCCAGAAACTGCCCGAAACGGCCGATGCCCTAGTGGCGTCTGCTTGTGATGTGTCGTGGTGATTCATGATCGTTGCAGTGCTCTCTAAGCAGCTCTGCGAATCCAGTATGACACTAGCAAGAACAGGAAAGTAAGCACAGCACACAGAATACGTGTAAACGAACATAGTAAATGCAGATGGTTGAGCACCTAAAGTTGTTGAGGTTAGATATGAATACAGCCAGTTTTGCTAGTCATGACATGCCTAGTGGCACACATACAGAACATGGCAATTGTCGCTAGGTTGAGTTGCCTGGCGGGGATGAGTAGAATCTGCTGCCGATGAAGTTGAACAACCTCAGTCACAAACCCTGCGTCGCAGCCTTCGGGTTTACGGCCATGGTCCCAGGTGCAGACCTAGGCGCAAGCACGGGGGTACAAGGATCCGTGAGACAAAATGAATACTGTAGTCATGAAACATGCGTAAACCCTAATTAAGCACCCCTCAACATCCCAACCCTGACCCTATGGCCCTCAAAACCCTCGAAAAGCTTCCCAAAACTCAAAAGTTTAGGATTTCCAGTGGTGTCCTTGTTTCCTTCTCTAAGGGGTTAAATTCCCGTAGCAACCCGAATCGGCGAGAAAAGGGGCACGACGTCGCTTCATCAATAGGCAATGGAGTAGCATCCTTAAAAACCTTAAAGCCTCGAGAACCCGATACCCAAAACATTCTTAAGCGCCCTAAACACTGTAAAGACTATATCTAACAGCACGAAATCATTGCTAAGCCCCTCTGGCTGCAGGATGCCCAGGATCAGATGTCCAACATCCGAGGGGAGGAGTCTTCGAAGTACCAGGAGGAGGTCCGGGTTCAGGGCTTCAGGGTGTTGGGGGTTTTGGGGTGTTAGTGGGTTTTAGGGGTTTAGGGGTTCAGGGTCTAGGGTCTGGATTGAGTTAGTAGCCAGAAGCTGCTTATCATCGACGTGCCTGGAGGGGGTTTGGTGGAACGTTGAGGGCTTCGGGCTTCATAGGGCTGATGGTCCGGGGTCTAGGGTCTACCTCAGGAGCCCAAAGCCGTGCTGGAATTTCCCACGAATCTTGCCACAAGGCGTCCTGCAAATGTACAGACAGCGGTATACAGAGAAACAGCGCCCATGCAGGTTTTGGTTGACTAAGGGGGCTCCAAGCCCCCCCACTCAGGTGGAGTTGAACACGCAGTCGGCAAAGACGGCTGCTCGTCTCAGAATGTAGTAAGACCTTCGGGTTCAGGGCTTCAGGGTTAAGCCCTAAGCACTAAGCCCTGAACCCTGTCGAGAAACGGAGGACGCTATAGGGTTGGCTCTACCTCTTTTGCTTGCAGCGCTGGCGGCTACTGTAACGACTACACCCGATGCTCTTCTAAGGTTTGGGGGTTAGGGGTTATGGTTGAGGAGTGTATAGTAGTATAGCAGAATCCCTTTAAAGCAAAAGGGTGCCCAGTTGTTTGTTTGCCTGCGCGGGAACCTACGTTGCTGGCTTGTGTCTGTACCTAGACCATAGGGGCTTTCATATACATGGACAGATAGGCAAAGATCCCATAGATGGAGGGATTGCGAGCATAGAGACAGACAGACAACATGTTCATGCAAAGCACGTCTAGCACTTGTTTGCTGCTCGTGCTTCGAAGATGCCGCATATGCCTACGAATTATGGGGGGACTATCCTACTACAGCTGTAGGTCAATGGTATGCTTAGTCGGTGCGTTGAGTAGCCTGAGCCTTTCAAAGCCTCATCGCGCCTCCATAGCCCTGGAGTCTGCGTGCCCCAGTACGGGAGATGCACTGCGCTCCAGAGCATGGTATTCTACACAGTCTCCGCATCCCACCCCCCCCCCCCCCCCCCCCCCCCCCGCCCCCTCCCTCCCGCAACAAGAAGCAACAGATGTGAACTCTACACCCATCAGGCCTAGACCCTTTTTTTACCCTTCGATCCTCACCCTAAGCCTAAGTCCCCGAATCCCGAAACCTAGGTGGAGGGCGCCGTGTCGAAGCTCTCTGGCGGCACCTCTTTCCTGCAGAGGTGGGGAGGGGGGGGGGGGGTCGCGAGAGTTGGTGCTACAGAGACCCCAACGCATCGTAATTGAGAAGTTCGCCTATCAGATGGTTTCAGGAGTACTCTTTCCAGGGTTTCGGGATTTAGGGAGGTTCGGACCGGAGGGCTTCGGGTTGCTTACTGGTTCTTAGTAAGGAGTCAGGGAATTAGGTAGCTTAGACTCACCCTGGTGGGTAATTCCGAAGTCCCAACTTCAGACTTGGGTTTCAAGGAGAGCATGAGACAGCTTGTGAGGGGGAGGGGGATGGAGAGTCAGAGTGGGTCAACGAGTCTACGCCTTGAAAATGTGCAGGGTTGGCCGGAGGGGGGGGGTAGCGAAATAGAGGCATAGAGGGCTGGCGGGAGCAAGAAAGGGATGGGACCAAGATTCGGAGCATTCGCGCGCGCAACCCTACCTGAGCACCCAAGCAGGAAAGCTATTTTGGTTTTAGGGTTTCGTCTTGTGCTCTGCAGCGTCATGTGCATGTCTGTTGGCTGTGGCTGTTGCTCCGACTGTCTAGAGGAGTTGCAGGTTACAGGGCTAGGGTGGGGTCGGGTGTCAGGATTCGGCAGCATGTCCAAATTGAATTCTAAACTCCTTGTGCCAGACTGAAGGTGAGGATGAGGTTTTCGGTATGACGAAATGAACTCTTTTGATTCCTGTGAGGCGTGCGGAGGAGCCGGACAAGGGCTACGTCCTTGGACTCCTGAAAGGAATCCAGGCGGAGGGGAGGGGGGGCTGTTTGGGGGCGGTGGTGTTGTGGCTTGTGCTCAGGGTGCCACTCAAATCCCAAAACCCCAAGGAGCAAGCAGATATTCTTCCCTAAATTCTGGCACAGACAGAGGCTTCGAGCCCTCAACTCTGAACCCGAAACCCTTGCCGCCTGAATTAAAACCTTTAGCCGTGCCTGACATCTCGGGAACCCGCGCCTGAGGGTTTAGTGCTATTGAATCTAGGGAAGTCGTTTCAGGAATGACAAGTCGGCTTAAGGTTTACATAGACACACATGATATTAGCCCACAAGCTTGTACGAGACAGCCCCAAGCCAGAACCCTTAAGCATCTCAAAACCACCCCTCAGAAGCCCAACAGAAGAATGAGCGCCAGCCGGGACAAAGCCAAGAATGACAGGCTCCAACTACCCCAATCTCAAGCCTCCTAGATCCCTTTGATCTAAAAGGTTATGGCGTGCCGTACACCTGAATTTGGGGTACCTTAAATCCCAAAACCTGTTTTTCCTTAGAGGTTCCACTCCCTGACCCGACACGGAGCTGGAGCTTGGGGACATAGCGAGTATCCACTGTGTCCACAACACCGTGTTCGTGGACGAAGAGCTGACGCTGGTTTTCTACAACCTGGTCAGTGAGGTGGCGGACACTTGCATCGCGGATATCGGAGACACTCAGAGATCCACTAGCGCCACAGGCGGTGCAGGTTGTGATGGAAGTGGAAGGCTAGCTGCTGCCGATGGACGTGCAGAGACTAGACCCGAAGGGGTACCTGTTCTATTCAAAGGTTCCTGGTGCTCTCAACCCTAACCGCCTAAACGGGCCCTAAACCCTAACCCCGAAATCCTAAACTACGTCAGGCGCGCCTCACTAAGACTCGCACCGAGCTGGACGAGTCGGAGAAGGATGGGCATCGGGGTGCTTCGCAGTCGAGCAAAAACCTTTAGCCGCTTGTGGAGTCGTACAAGAATCCATGTAAAACTACCTTTGCATATTTCGCTAAGAAACTCGGGGCGCAGGTTTGGGGTTCTATCGGTTTGGGGCTTCGATAGCATTTGCTAGGTTCACAGGGTGTAAAGGCTTTGTGGATTCTTCCCAAAACAAAAAAAGGGGCCCCAAACAAATAAGGCAACAGTATTCTTCATTTTCCCCAAGAAAGGGAGCCCTATATTTGAGAACCTCTTTTTGGGCTAGATACTGGTATCATTTGTCACCTCTTTGGGCCTTGGTTCCCCACAGATGCATCCTGTTTTCCGAGGCTTCGAAGTGGGTAAGAGAGCTGAGGGCTTAGGGTGAGGTTGTAGAACAGCTTAAGGGCGCGGAGAGTTTAAGGCGGTGTTTAGATGTTAAGGGCTCAAGGTTCAGTTTTGGGGTTCAGGAGGCATACGGTTGGCTCCAAGGTTCCTTAAGGGAGGGGGATCTACTCTAGGGAACCTTAGGCAGGCCTGGGGAGCCTTAGGGCCTTAGGGAGCCTTATGGGGGTATAAGGGACCATTGCCCCTCCCGTAGAGAGCGCACTCTACAAGTTAGAGTTTGCCCTGGGGAGCAAATGCAGCCCTAAGAGTTTCTCTCTACGACAACAATTCCCACTAAGGTAAGGTACATGGACCGCAAATCCATGTAGGGTTCAATAAGTCTCCAAGCTACAGGCCACGACCCTGAACGGCCCGAAGCCCGTAGGGTGTTGGCTTCAGGGTTTAGGGGTTGGGCAGTGACGTGCCGACATGTGCTGTGATCGAAACAGTGGAGCCTCACTGTTTACAGCTGAGGATTGGGGAGTTGAGGGTTTGGGGTGTTGGGCCCAGTGTGGAGGGTTTGGGGTTTAGGTGCCTCGGCAGCAACGGCGCTAGCAGAATGCCGTACCCCCAGGGGTTAATTAGTGAGTGTGGTTTCGGCGCACGGTTTCGGGTTTGGGGCGTAATTGGGCCTTCAGAGTTGAGTGTTTAGCGGTTCGAGGGTTAAGGGATCCGAAACCCTATGCCCTCAGCTCTAAACCAAAGGTTTGCGGTCTCAAGGTTCAGGGTTTCGGGCTCAGTCTTCGCTTCCCCTCGGCACAGGCCAAAGCGCTGACCCACAAGAGCTTGTTCCAAGCCAAGAAGGCAGGGACTGAGTGTAGAGTTTAGGGTTTGGGGTTTAGACCCCTGATAAGGCTGTACCCATTGGTCCTGCTTTCGGATACTCCATCAAGGAAAGTAGGGGGCAATCCTCTTGAAAACTCTGCAAGGGCTACAACATAGGCGCCTCATACCCTAACCCCAAACTAGGTCTAAGGGGCTCTGCTGGATGTCGCTGGCAGGATCAGGAGACCGTTCTGCAAAATGAGGCCCGGATAGCAGCACATCCCAGCGTGGTGAACGGATCACGGTGTGCTGAGGCTCTTGGGTTTAGGGGTTTCATAGCCGGCAAACCAGGGATCGTGCCCCAGTCGGCCTTCACCAACCACAAGCGCTTAGCCCTGCAAACCCTGGCCTCCAATTCCCACCTCCCGAGACTCCAGAATCCCTTCATGGAATATTCCTCCTGAGCTTCATTGAGGGTCTCTGTTTCAATGCAAGGTTGCTAAAGGGACCTTCAGGCGTCTGCGCCAAGGTACCTAAAGGGAGAAAAAGGTGGAGAGACCCCGACGGAGTTCAGGGTTGAGGGTTGCTGCTGCTGCGGCTGCTGCAAAATGCTGTACATGTTTCTGTCTAAAGATAGTCTTCAAAAGCAGCACCCTTCTAGGGTTCGGGAGGTTCAGAACTACCATACAGAGTCTTGTGGGTTTCATTATCTACTCTACATGGGTACCTGGGCCCTTGGGGCCCTAAATCCCGAGATCCTCAGCGCAACAGTCCCCCCGAACACCCTAAACACCCTGAACACCCTAAACACCCTGAACGCACTAAACACCCTGAACCCTAAAACTTGGAACCCTAAGCCATGCCGGAGGTGTTGCAGAAGAGCCGGCTGTTGGCCCAGAGTAAGTTGGACCTCGTCGAGGTGCCCAGTGCTTCGGAGTCCGGCTTCTGTAGCTTACTGAAATGCAGCATGTGCGCAAGATTACAGGAGCCTCAGAAGTTTTCAATCTTAGCCCCGTAGTTTAGACTACCTAAATAACTGTAATACAGGAGCATACACCAGCAAAACCCTAAACCCCAAAGCCTCTAAGCCCTAAACCCCCATAACCCAACCTCTTCAAATTTTCAAGGTTCTTCCGAGCTTGAGATTTGAAGCTTTGCGGTTTCTCGGCCTTTGTAGAAGACTCCGTATGTTGGGGCTTGCGTCACTTAAACCGCGGCACAGGCGCAGCGCGTGCACGACGAAGAGAAGGAGGGCATGATCCAGCTTGTCTGGAGTTGAGGCTTCAGGCAACCGTGAATATAAGTTATCCCCGACATCAGGAAGTGACCACATATACATCGATATATCTGTATATACAGTACATACATACAGTACATACAGACATACATACACACATAATACAGATATGCTAACCCTCGACCCACCCGCAAAGGGGATAGGTACGCAAGCATATCTCGGATGCGGTCTATTTGAGAGTGAGAGTGCGTGAGAGAGAGAGCGTAAGTGAGTGAGGCTGCTCTACGTTATGGGCCCTGTTTTTTTCTGGGTCTCATTTCGGCAAGTTGTGTTGAGGTGCCAAAACAGACCCAAAACTTAGAGCAACCCTCATAAAACTGGGTTTTGGAGTTCAGAGGCATTCTATCTCTCCGAGGGCGTAGTTTCAAGGGGTCTTGCACCCATGCCAGCTTGAGGCTTTGCAAAATAAGGTCTTTTGTTGCTTGAAGGTCGCATGCTTACCTCAGCTGCTACTTTGTTGAGATGCGTCGCTTCATTGGGCAGGCCCTTTTTCCAAGCCCTGAACCATAAGCCCTATCAGCCGTAGACTGCCAAGAAGCCCTGAAGCCACAACTTGACCTGGCTCCCTGCGGACTTCGGCTAGGGAGTAACCAGGAGTCCAGCGCGGACATGATGCAGATGGTGGCGGACACGAAGGAGGACTGTGCAGCCAAGGTGCGGGTGTTAGGGTCAGAGCGTCTGGGGTGTTGGGATGAAAAGGGTCCACCCTGAACCCTAAAGCCTATAAGCCCAAAACATATCGAGTGAGACGTCCAGGGGGTTCGAAGCTGCAACCCAGCCTTCCATGGAGAACTTATTTTGCTAAGGCTGTAGAGGTTCCAAGAGGCAGGTCCTTGCGTTTCCATACACCTACAACCGGAGACTCTGTGCAATCACTAGCGCAATCCCCACCCAGTCTAGACATGTAAGACTGGTGCAGGAATGCGTCGGGTTGCCCTAAACCCTACGCCCGAAGCCCCAGAAGCAGTAAAACGCAGCAGTAAAACGCATCTCGGGATGCCCCTTTAAGGGTTTGACAGGGGGATATGAGTTACCTAATTCCCTATACCCTCTACCCCAAGCAGTTCCTCCTAGGGCTTAGGGTTGCAACCCTAAGCCTTAAACACTTCTTCTTAGGGTGAGGACAAAGTACACGGCGACCCGTTATTTGGATCTCAGGGATAATTACTAGGGTCTAGGGCTTTTGGGAGTTGCGAGCTTTACTTTTCCAGATTTGGAGTGATGAGCGCTTTTATAGGGCTTGCATCGCTTGTAGGTTTAAGGCTCAGGGCTTGCCGACCCAAAACCCTCACGTGGCAGGCAGCTGAGTTCGACGTGCGGAAGGAGGCACCAGCCCCCTTCCTGTTTTGTTTAGGTGGTTAGTTTCCCTGATGAACGCCATGAAGTTCGAGACACGGGGTCAAACACTAGCTCAGGCTTCGAGGGTCTAAGGATCTACTCCAAAGGCTCCATTTTTTGTTCAGCCTTTCCTTGGGGATTTTGTGTCTGGTGCTTACACCAACAAACATCCTCCTCTCTCTCTCCCCCGCTCCTCCCCCGAAACCCTGGACCCTATAAACCCTCAACCCAGCCTACTCCCTAAACCTTGTCGTGCAGGATCAGGACAAGGAGCGAGCTGCCCTGGTGGAGGCAACTGGCGTCCTCAAAGAGGAGGCCCGGTGCTTGCATCGTTTGGGGACTTCAGGGTGTCAGGGCACGCGGGCAAGAGGGCAAGAGGTTCTTGAGGCGTGTCTGCCGCACCTCGACTTGCCTTCTTCAGACCCTTTCGCCCCAAAGCCGTTATCCAAGCTTCCCCGCGACGCAGGAGGGCGGCGCCAAGGCCGCCAACTTCTTGCAGGCCCATGCCTCTTCGAGTTTAGGTGTTGACAAGTTGAGTAGTAGGTTGTTTGAAAGCACAAACGCGCGTGGCTGCCCAGTAAGCTTAAGACTCAATAGTTTATTCTGGGCCAGGGTATCTCAGGGCACTGGACACCTTAACAGTCGTGGGATCCAGCGCCTGGCTTCAGTTCTTCGTGGGGGTTCGGGACTGGCAAAGGGGGGAGGGCGTGTCAGGGTGATTTAGGGGGGTTGGGGCGTTTAAGGGTGTGTGTAGTTTACGACTCAGGGTTTAGGGGGTTTGGGGTGCAGCAGGAAGCTAAGCGCTTAAGCACCCTAAAACCCAAAACGCCAAGCCCCAGCCGTTCCAACCCCGCCTGACTGGGTCCCATGCTTCAGCGACATCAACCCTGTAAAGGTATAGGGGTCTCTAGGATAAAGGGCTTAGGGGTGAGATCACCTGATAATATTCGAGGTTCCTCTAGGACGTATCGAACAAGGGGATGCTTCTTCACACTGAAGGCTCACGCTTTTGCTCAAGGGCAAGGAATGGTTAGCCTACTCTAGGCAGCTGCAGCTCAAACCTGTTCGAAGGTCGATTCCGAGAGTCATCGGGCGGGCGAGGAGAAGGAAGAGTCTCTGCGTCGAGCGGCAGCTCGGAGAATGGAGTAGGGCTTCGGGTTTCAGGGGTTCAGGGCCAAGGATTCACAGTCTTCAGTTTGTTGCAATTGTGTTTTTTTCTGTTTGGGGGTGGTTGAGGGTTCCTGTAAGGGGTGAGGGTTTTTGGGTGTGGGGCTTGGGGGTTTATCGACCTTAGGTTCTTAAACGCCCTGCCGCTCAGGTTGAGCTGGTGCAGCACCAGACCCGCGACAAGGCCGAGGGCATGGGGCAAGCCGCCGAGGCCCTGCCATGGGGCTCAAAGGGCTTCAGCGGCGTCAGTCCTCGGGGCTTTTGTTGGGGCCCTTTTGGGGTTCGGGGTTGCATAGGGTTTGGGACGTTTATTGCGTTCAGCGTCTGAGGGCTCGAAGGTTCAGGGGTTCCAGGCCCTCAGAGTTTTAGGTGTCTAGGTTTTAGGGTTTCGGGGGTTGAGCATCTCGGAATTCCAGCTGCAAGGCCCTGGCCCCTTCAAAGCACTCACCCTCTGAGCCCTGCCGTTGGGCTTTAAGGAGTTTGAGGGCTTAAAGGTTCGCGGGCCTGCCCTAAAACCCCGTTGTGAGTTATGGTGATGAACCGCCTTAGAGGATTCAGTAGCTGCAGAGACAGAGGTTTTTGGCGCGGTAAAGCCTTCAAGCACTTAAAGCCTCGAGCCTCCAAACCCATCTTGAAGGTTCGTGGGGCTCATAAGCTAGTTGGCTGTACATTCGAGGTTATATTGTCCCACCGAGAGTCCCCCGAACTGGGCTTATATAGGCACGGAGTATCACCCCAAACCTGAGAATCCCGAAGCTCTCATCGCCTTATCTCCTAAAACCCAAGCCGTAAGCCCTGAATCTTCAAGGAAGCCCGTGACAACTTTTGACTTTACACCAGGGCCCTTAAACATGCGCAGCCTGGATTGGCGGGCCAACTTGATTTCACAGCGGGCCCGCAATAGAAGGGACCAGATTGACCCGTTCATGACTTGAGTTGTGCACCCAGTTGTTTCCCAGCTAAGGTGCGGGATCTGTTACTGTTGTGGTGTTTGAAGTTGCTGTGGCAGTTAGTCTTCTATGTGCCACTGAAGTGGGCATCTCCCCTAGGAACCCCCTTATAATTATACCCCAAGATACTAGAATCCTGAATCCTTAGTGTGGCGAAACAAGAAAACCTCTGCATCTTCTGAACCCCCCCCCCCTCTCAAGTGGAGGCAGCAGGCTGTGAACCCCAAAGGTCCCTGCATCGACGTGCGCAGGCGGTCCTCGGGCTCGTTGATGCCATCGAGAGCCACCAAACAGAAGACGCCAAGAGGCGGCCCCCGCCCCGCCCTACCCCCTCCCCCCCCCCCAAAAAAAAAAATCCTAATAACGCAAAATAATAAAGGCCGATGACTCCAGGGTGCCCAGTGGTTCCCTTACTTCCTTTTTTTGTCAGGACCAGGTTCGCTTGTAGGTTCCAGTAAACCATAAGAAAGGGTACTTAGGTTGCTGGGAAACCTTTCGGAATTTCAGGTTGGGATGGGGGTTCGTATGGTTTAGGGAACGTAGTCCCGAAGGCAACTGAATGTTCCCCAACTAGTAGGCTGTGTGTATTCATTGGTTTGCTCTGGATACTTCGGCGTTAAGGTAGGCCCAAGCAACACCCCGTCAGTCCTGCAGCATAGTCGGAAAGCAGCCGTTTAAGAAGGCCTTGAGCAGGAAGGAGGTTTCAACCTTGCGAGGTTGGAGATGCTCACATGTTCGGAGTAGACATGAAGCCACCACACAGGCTGTAGGGTGCAGGTCAGTAACCTTACCCCTTCCTAGGAAGCCCGGTGGGGCCCTTTATATCCCTTCACCCGTTTCGGGGATCTAGGTCACTTTTTGACCCTGAGCAGACCCAAAGAAAGGTATTTTCCCTTCTGGTGATGTGGTTATGTTGTACCGGAAGAATTGGGTATGGTCACCCTTGTTTACGGTAAGGAGGCCACACTAGGCATTTAGCACCGGATTGCAGGAAGAGCTTCTGCGAGGTTCAGATGGGCAACAACCAGGCAGGTCTTGCACGTTTCATGGATTTGCTTCGAAAGTACTGCGGAGCCCGCATGCGGTGGCCTTCGACGGGCTATTGATTTGTACAAGTGCCTTAGCCGGACCATGTTGGGGATGTGTTCAACCACGTATCTTCCACCACAGTTGCATTGCCGGATCAAAGCCCCTGTTGGCAGCAGACCCCTAGCACTGGCAACGTGCGGGTGAATCGTGAAGCACGTGGATGAGCGTTTGGCTTGATGAGGCCCGTGAGAATGCTGAGGTGACGGCTGCCAAGCGAGTTGAGCACCTGTGCTCATGCAAAGATGTGAGTGCGATGCTCACAAAAGAATTTGCCATGCTGCGACACGAACTGCAGAACATTAAGCAGCTCATGGCCGAGGGCTTCTCGAAGCATTCCCCGCCTCTGCAAGCACATGCAGCTGTGTTTCGAGCCCAGACTGCGTCGAACAGCTTTGTGGAGACATTCAGCCTGGCCAGCATCATCGCGTCATTTCCAAGGCCCAATTGCCCAGAGAGCGTGCCGGATGCTGAAGAAGAGGACCTTGTGACCGGACGGCCTGAGCACCATGCTGAGACGGATGCCGAGATTCCCGACAAGGTCACCCAGAAGCCTGCGTCCTGCGAGCGCAGCGTCACACAGAAGCCGTGTGCCACCACTTGCCGGGAGGCGGAGGTGGTGGAAGGTCTTAAAGCGGAGTCTGGTGCCAAACTTGCTCCAGAACGACTGGAAGAATCACCTCACCAACCAGCCAGCTTTGGCTTTGTACCGGCGAGTTCGGCAGAAAGGCAGCAGCGACGAAGGCACCTTGCAAAGGTGCATCGGTTCCGTGCGTATGCAGATGCGGAGACCCCTCCTCCGGCATCTTCATCAGACGAGGAGCCGAAGTCATCGATTTGTTCTCAGGAACTTGTCTCTCCACAGATCTGGTCTCGCACATCCTTTCAGCTGACACTGTTTGAGATGCTGAGTGTGCGGGACCTGATGCAGCTGCGCACAGCCTGGCAGTATGTCGATGCCCAGGCCTTGGCACGGCACTTGGCAGAAGGCGCTGACTTGGCAACTGCATCCTCCGTGGTCCTTTCGTATGATATGGTTCGACGGGTTGAGTGGGCTGCAGAGGCGAAGCGCACCCATCGTGCCGATCAATGGACACTTTCGGCTGCAATTCGGGGTAAGTTCGCTGAAGACCCTGTCCTGGAGAAGCGATTTCACTGCTTGAGCCTCGGCGACCATATACCCTCTACTCTAGTACTAGAATCACTATCGTGCTCATGTGGACCATAAACCCTGTTTTTTGGTTCACTTCGTCCACAAGGAATTGGTGCTGTCTGCAATTGCGCATGGACGACAGGACGTGGAGTCAAGGGGCGTTCGATTGCGCTGTGGCATCCTGCAGGCAGCTGGCGGAGCTTTGTGTTGTGGGAGGCAGCAGTATGCAGGTGACTGCACTCCGCCTGTTGGAGAAGCTCGGAATGTACAGCGCCTTGGGTGACTAAACGACATACTCGGGTACCTTCACAAGGGGATCAGAATAGGTTGAGATTGGGGAGTTTGATTGCTTTCTTGTCAGGGTTCATTTTGTCCTGAAGGTTGTGAGGAGGTGCAAGGGGTGATCATGCTCCACGTGTCTGAAGTTCTCGAAACCATGCTGCGCTCCGATCCGGACTGGCACGTTGCCGAAGCAGCCTCTAGGACACGCAGTGGTTCCCTTGTTGCCGCATTGCCCTTATTGATACTTGTTTGTGGCTCTACTACCCGTAGGTTACTGGGCAACCTAGGCCTTGTGCCATGTGCTATACTGCCACCATTCCATGGAGTACGGGCAACGGCAAATCTGGGCTGAGCTCGCGGCGGAAGTGGCGGTCCGCACTCTCCAGGAGTTTCAGCTTCGGCAATCAGACTTCGCACTTCACGTCTTGGGGCTCTTGGTCTCAGACGTCGCGACACAAAAGGAAACGCGCATGCACTTCCCCTGCATTGCCTGGCTAGAGGCTGAAGCGTGGCGGGGACACGGGATTCTCAACAGGTTCTTAATGTTGTACACATAGCCGACGACCAATCACTGCGAGAAGTTGCCTGCATCGGACAGCGGAGCCCGCATCGTCGTGGTGGGGAGTGCTGAACGTAGAGCGCAGGCAGCTGAGGTGTCCACATTCTGCATGGCACGAAACGGCTCAGGAAGAAACGGTAAAAAGGCTTCTTCCAATAATAAGCTGTGTGGCCCAGATTGTTTCGGCGTGCTTGTCAATCGTTGTGCATGTGAGATTCGACCACCTCTCTTTGCCCAACTGCGCATCTCTTCTCGCCATCTGTGCTATCCCTACAGATGTAAATGCTGATGCTCTGAGCAGCTTCAGGTTGACCATTGTTACGGCCCTCGTCACAAAGCAACTCAAGCGAAACGCGCAGCCGGGTTTTGTGGGCCACGAAAGGCGATAGTTGTTGTTTCTCGCTGTTTCTCTTTTTTTCCTTCCTCAAGTGGAAGGCACCTTTATTTGCGCATTCAGCCACATCAGGTTCCTTTCAATTGTTGCAGTTCATGCTGCGCGAAACCGAAACATGGGCAACATGGGTTTCCAGAAAATGACAACACCCCTTTACCCGAACAGCATATCAGGAAAGCACAAACACCTCAATGTGAACTGTGCGCTCAAACTACCCCGAACCCCCAAACGTTCTCAAGTCCAACACCCTTAATACAGCAGGGAAAGGGAACACCATGAGTTTTAATTACTGTACTCGTTCCGACCCCTATAGTAAATTTTAAACACCCTGAAGCCAGCCGCAACTCAAAGCCCTTATGCCCCGGAAACCCTGAAAGTTTCTGACACCCGTTGCCCCGAACCGGAAGCCCTGAACTCTAAAACCCAAAGCTCCTAAATCCTAAGCCCCAAATCCCGAAAGCCCTATAGATCCTACTGTAACACCCGAGTGTCACCCTTACACCCCGACACCCTAATTGCACCCTAACACCCTGAAGCCTAAACCCTATACTGTTGAACCCCCAACACCCTGACGCCCTAAACCCGTTTTCCAAGCAATGCCGACTCGCCTGCAGAATTCCAAAGCCAAGACCGAAGGCGACCTCGTGCGCCTCAAGGTGGCTCCTACCACTTCGGACTAAGCTGTAGGGTTAAGGGTTTTGGGCTTATGGCCCTTTTTGGTTTAGGGGTTGGGGGCTTAGGTTGTTTAGTTTCAGGCTGTATGGGATTTTTCGGTTGTCTAGAAGGGTTTAGGTTGCTTGTTTGGGTTTAGGGCTTTATGCGTCTAGGTTTTCGTGTGTTTAGGTTTAGGGCATAGGTCTTCAGGGGTTTTATTTGGGCTTCACGGTCTAGGGCTCTGTCTTTACAGAGTTCAGTGGTTGTGGAGCCTAGGGTTTTCTAACCCTGGACCCCAAATTCCTAAGCCTCCACACTCCCGTCCAGCCTTTATCCGCGCGCCCTGAACCGAACCTCGTGGCCCTCAGACCCTCAGACCCTGAACCCTAAACCGCAGGCCAGGGAAGCCTTCTTGGAGTCAGAAGTGGGAGCCACCTCTAAGGAGGTGACGGAGCTGAAGGCCCAGGCCGTGCCATTAAGTGGGCTTAGGGTTTATAGGGTCTGGGGATTCGGGTTTAGACAGGGAGGGGTCGCTTCAATTTTAGTCGTCTGGGTTGGGGGTTTTGTGTTTTGTGTGATGTGTTTTAGGGTTCCGCGCTTAGATTGTTAGGGCCCCGGATCGCTTGGGGAGAGCTTGCGGGTTCCTAAGCCTTAACACCGAAACCCTAAACGAGCCCTGTAGACATGGTTTTCGAGGTTTTAGGGTTTGGGGTCTGCTAGGTTCCGGGTTGCGGGTTTAGGCCGGTTTAGGGCTTGGGGTCTAGGGTCCAGGGTTGGCCGGTAAGTCAAGAGGTTGCAAATGAGCTACCCCCCCCCCCCCCCAAAAAAAAAAAAAAAGACATAGTAACAACAAAACACAAAAAGAAGCAAAAAAAAATTAAATGCCTGTTCTGCCCTTTGACAGCATTCGCCAAGCATGGAGAGCGGGAGTCATCCTCGCACTCTTCCTGGCAGAAAGAAGGCGCAGGACCGCCAAAAGCCAGCGATCCAAAGTTGGACGATGAGCTGCTGCTCATGAAGCTCGAGGTCCGCGTGGCGCAGGACGGCAGGACGATTAAAAAACAACAGCGCGACATTCGAGATAAAGGATGCAGTGGGACGAAGCGATGAAGGAAAGCCATTCCCAGCATGAGGGCGCGGCTCCAGTTCTGTGTACAAAGGGTGATAATAAGTAGCTCGAAAAGGGTTACAGTATAACTACGCCAACCTCCAACTTAAGAAGGGAGTCTGCTAGGTATCTTAGATCACACTGCCCAAGAAGGTAGGGACGAGGAAGTGGCACCCCAAGCCCTAAGCCACATCGAAATTGAAGAACTTGGGATGCGATCATGGCAGCCGTAGCAAGCTGAAAATTTTAAATCCTAAGCCCTACAGCCTTTCTGCACCCCCACATGTGCCCCGGGCCACCTGAAGACCGAAAGAAGAAGCCCTAAATCCTAGCCTACACTCTAGGGTATCTTAAAGGCTACATGGGGGTTCTAGGATGGGGCTGGAACTGTGCTTTGCACCAAGTCTGAAGACAAAAACCTCGGCACTGTCCAGGAGCTACAGGGCTTGTGGGGGGTTCCTAGGCTTCTTTTAGGGGCTTATGTAGGGCTCGTAAGGCTTATGGGCCACTCATGCGGCTTACAGGGTTTGAAGGGTTTAGGCTGCGGGTTGAGACTTTTGAGGGTTCAGCTTTCATGGCCTAGGGTGTAATTAGCCCCAAACCCGAAACTGCCCGAAACCCTGAACCCTGGAACCCTGAACCCGATGACCCGCTTGCTGGGAGGCCCAGGCCTTCACGGAGCGTCTCACGAAGTTGGAGGCGGCGCGGACCAAGGAGAAGGCCTCGTACAAGGCCCAGGGACGCCTTTAGGGTTTATGTAGTAGTATATGAATAATGTATTATGTTCATATTGTAATATTCTATGAGTAGATTCCCATATTGTTTAGTATTATATCAGTAGACTATTCGGTTTTTATGCTACAATATTTCATAGTGCTTGTAGGGTTAAGGGTGCTGATGGCTTGCAGGGTTTTGGGTGTATGGGGTTTAGAGTTTTGTAGGTCTCTGGTTTTGGGGCTTACAGAGTTACAGGGTTTGGGGATTATAGGTCATAGAGTTTAGTTAGTCACTTTAGTTTGTACATGTAAGCAAGATTTAGGGCTTTTGCCACACGATTCACGAGTAGCTCCAAGTAGGCTTATATGCATACCGGCTACGACCAGTTGCCGCCACAGGAACCCAAACTTAGCTCTACCCGTGAACCCTTGAATTTATGAACCCTCCCTCTCAGACTGGCTTGCGCTCTAGCCATCCAAGCCTTACTTAACCTTTCGCCCCCTGAAACCTAGACCCTCTAGCCCTCTAGGCCGACATCCTGAGCCCTCTAGCAGACTCCATTTCCCTAGGCCTCTGCCTGTACATCCACTGCGTCCTAAATTACTGCATGTAGAGCAGTGGGATGTCGTCAGGCGTTTCTGTTTGCGAGAAAAGTGCCTTAGATCTGCGGCGGCACTGTATCTGGCCGGGCCGCAGCTGTATGAGAGTGTGTCTCAGTTCGAGCGTTGGGGCGTGCCAAATTGAGGCAAGCCCCCGCCGAGTATTCAACACCAGTAAACCCACCAAACCCTCCAAGCCCTGTTGAAGTCTGAACTTTTGTAAGCCTCCCCAAGCACTGCCCTAAAACCCTAAGCCCTAACCCTAAAAGACCCTAGGCCTTATAAGCCCTGGAAGCCCTAAGAGTGCTGGCTTTGGTCTGCAGGCCTCGACGAAGGACCGCGAGCTTACGGTGCAGGCAGGTGTAAGGTTTAGAGGGCTTCAAGGGCTTGAGTGTCCTGGCTTCGACTTTGGGGTTTGGGCTGTGGGTGCTGGTTCTGTAGGAGCTCCTCACATCTTCGGGTTGCGAGAGCCATGTCCAGGCTAGCTTTAGCAAGAGCAAGCGGCACGCAGCGCGTAAAGCTCCTCTACCTTCGACAATGTGACACATACTTTCATGGATAGTTACTTATAGTTAGAAGTAAGTTGACAGTGGCTATAGATTTTTCCACTCGTGGGAGTTGCCACAGGAAACTTCGGGTAAGGAGGGCTCTCCTGGTCATTTGCCGTGTCAGCACGTGGGTTGAGCAAAGTCCATCCAGGGTCCTCGTGGAAAAGCTTGGCGAAGTCGGGCCAAAGCTTTACATTCAAGTACGAGGGTTTGACAGCATTCCTACGCAACTTTCCACAGGTATTCAGTCAGGTGCCCTTGACAAAACAGGCCACATGGAACTACTGGCACACTGCTGAGATGCCGGTGGTGGTCAAGAACACAGCCCCAACCCGAAACCCCAACTGGGACAGGATCTAGAAGCACCCAGCTGTCTTAGGTCTTAGGCTTTAAGAACTTATGTGGTTGACTTGGAGGTGCGGAGTTCTATTGAAAGCTGCCTTCAACCTTCTTAGAAGCCAATATTGTGACCCAGCTTAGAAGGCGCATGGGATTTCTAGGCGGGTTTATGACCGCAGTTTCTAAGGTCACAAAAAACAAAGCGTAAACCCAAAACTTAACACCCAGAGCCTCAGTCCAGCCCTTCGGGTTTAAACCGAGGTATCAGGACTCTTGGGTCGTCCCTTGACCTCCAAGCCCCGGGTGGTCTGTGTACGGGTGTTTGGAGTGAAGGTTTGTGGTTTTAAGGTTCAGGTGGTCCATGCACCGAATCCCCTCTTTGAGAAGGTCGTGAAGAAAGCCAAGGGCATCGTCGAGAGCTTCTATGCAACAAAGGCCGAATCACTGAGCCTAAGCAATTCTGGGTGGAGCTTGCATGGTAGGGCTCGTCAGGAGCCCGAGACCCTGAAAGCTGACACCAAAGCCGAAGTCCCAAATCCCAAAACCAGCACCCTGAAATCCTGTGCCCATAGTACCTTACCCCTCAGGGTCTGTGGTTCTGGTCTTCACACACCACAGGACGAAGCCCTAAAACCCTGACACGCTGAAGCCCTACCATCTGAAACCCGAGACGCACCCCTAAGCCCTGGGTGCTAAGGGTGTGGAACCGCCTGAAAATACCTCGAAGCAACCCGGTAGATCCTCTGCCCAATCCGACTTGGTTCAGTTTGTGGTTTGAGGCTGAAAGAGTTTGTGGTTTTGGGGGCTTAGGGGTTCTCGACTGTTTCACTAAAGGTCGTGGACACATGTCGAGCTTTGCCCCATCGAGCTCCCCAAACCCCCTGAGCTGTAACTCGGGAGCCCATCTTTTGCAGGACCCGCAGGGCCTGGTACAAGTGCGGGACCACCAGGCACACTTTGCACCCAAACTCTCATTGCTAACTTCATATAGACTGTAGTACTGTAGTGTGCTCCGGGCCCAGAATCCTTAAGCCCCTATACTTGGAGGGAGATTCCTATCGCACCTGCTTCTACGCTCAATCTTGTACGGCACGAAGATTGGGAGGGAGCTGTTCCACATTGGAGCTCCCGTATATAGACTCGAAAGGAGCTCCCAAACGAACATAGACGGACCCCAATTCAGATCAACACCCAGTCTGGGATCGTGGCTTCAGGGCTGGGTAAGGTTGGTAGGTTTAGGGCTTGAAGGGGTGTGGGTTTAGTTGCCTGGAAGTTGTGGCTTCAGGGTGTTTCAGGGTGTTTTCTTTCCAAGCTGCGCCTTTGAGAGGGCCATGAGCCTACGGAGGTGGCACATGCAGCTGACGAGCCCAAGAAGGAGCAGCATGAAATGCAGGGTTACGCCTCTGTTGCTCTGATCCCTGTGTAGTTCTGTGCCAAGTGCCGAGCTGAGCAAACGTAAATTTGACGTAAATGTCCCAAGGCAGCGCTGCAATATGCCGCAATCATAACACGTTCACCTGCATTTCGGACTCCTATAGTCTCCTGAGCCGACGGGGATGTCAGAATGAGGGCCTATAAGGCCAGCAGGTCGCAGGGTTTGCCAATGTTACTTGCCAATGGCATGTGGCACGATCTCTCAAGGTTCTTTTTACTTGCGCCGAGAACGGCTACTGGTTCATCCATCGGATGCAAAAAAGATTCCCAGAGTCCAACATTCCACATTTGTTCATAGTAGCTAGTCGGCGAATTGCTCATGCCAAGCAGGCTTCGAAAGCCATCCCCCCCCCCCGCTCCAAACAAAAAAACCAAGCTCTGAGTGACCCTGAACCCTAATTTAGGGTTTAGTGGCCAAGCTCTAAGCACCCTGAACCCTGATTCGATGTTGACGGCCTGGGAGGGTTAATGGTTAAAATTAAAAACCGTCAACCAGCCCCCCAAACCTAACAGTGAGGAGCAAAAAGCACCCCCAGAGACGTGGACCTTGGGCAGCTCGAGGACCAGGGAGGGGGGTTTAGGGTTTATGGTTTAGGGTTTGCAGGGACGTATCTAGGGTACAGTACATTGTGTGCAGAGTTTCGAGTTTGCCTTAGGGAAGCTAAAGGAACCTGACTACCCGGTTGAGGGTTGAGGGTGTTGTGACTAGAATGGAACTTTCGAGCATTTTCTGGTAGCAGGACCATACAGGGATAATACTTCTCTGGCCCGTGCAGGGTCTGGGGCTGACGAATTCGGGCAGAATTTCGAGTTTGGGGTTCGGGGTAGGTTCCCTTGTGTTCCCTAGACCAGAGGTTTTGTGCGTCAGAATTGTACGTCTGAATTCGATGACCTTGGAAGTGGGCCGTAGCCTTCCAAGCGAATGGAGCAGGGTTAGAGTTAAGGATTTAGGGTTTAGATTTTAGGGCGGCAGTGGTGATGGATTGCTGCCTTGCATGGTCGAGAAACTTGCAAGCCCTGTAGGCGCACAAGAATACGAACCCTACAAGCCTACAGTAGATGCCCTATCATCAACCCTGCACCCTAAGCCCCCAAACCCTCAGAGCCCTGAATGGCTTGCAGGAAAGGGGGCCTCGGTCAGTCGGTCATTGCCATGCTGGACACGATCATGCCCAGGGCCCCAGCCTAGTTGCTTAAGGCTTAAGGCTTAAGGGTTGAGGGCTGAGGGTTTAGGGTTTCGGGTCCTTATTGGCCGGGGTATCGTGACTTTACCAACGTCGAGGTTGCCATGCAGGGGGGGACTTTACAAGTTGGGGTCCTGACTTGAGTCGTACTTGCTTGGAGGGTCAACTGCGGGGAGAAGTGGGCCTATAAGTAGGATAGCTAGAGTCAGAACTGGTTGCATTTTGCTTGCGCATTGCTTGTATCTCTTCTTTCAATTTTTTCCATAAACCATCGAGTAAATTCTATGTACTCCCCACCTCCCAATACCGAGTCTGGGATACAAAGGGCTTCAGGGTTTAGGGTTTGGGGTTCGGGTCTTCTAGGGTTCTAAAGGTAGTTACATGGTCCCTCAATATGGCGCCTTTCTCTCTTAAAAGGCTCTGAAGTATGGGCCCCTGAGTTTGAAAACCACCATGAGAAGGGTAGGAGGTTTAGTTAGGAGATAGTTAGGATTTAGGGTGCGGGTTTCTCAAGCTTTTTTCAGCTTCGGCTTTTCTTGGTACTTCATAGAAGCCTCAGAACCAGACCCTAACTTTTTATAACTCGCATGTCCCGTGCAGTCCTTCCTTCGAGAGGTGGGACTTTAAGAAGGAGCAGGAGGATGCAGAGAAGGCCGTGAGGGCACCCCATGTTAGAAACCGAAAGGTTGAACCCAAACCCCACTTTGGCCTAGAATACGGCGGCTGGAGAGGGTTCTTCATGAAACTTTTCAGGGTTTAAGTGTTTCGCTGCTACGGGGTCACGTACACCAGGTTTCCGATCCGTCCCCATGCTGTTAACGACCAACACTAGCCCAAACCCGGAATGCTATCATCCTACACACATGTCCTGGGGTTTAGGGTGTTAGGGGTTCTATTTCAACCCGACACCACATTTCCCAGCGCAGGCGGAGCAGAAAGCGGACGACTCCTTGGACAAAATCCGCGAGGCGGTTTAGGGTTTGGAGTTGAGGGTTTAAAGCAAAGTGCTTGTAGTGCATGGTTTTGGGGTTTTGATCTGCGGTGCTCACTGCCCCACGAGCAAATAGCTGCAAGCTGACTTTGTTCCAGGTGCTGCAACTTTGCTGGTCTTGTGTTGAGTTAGGGATTAAGTGTTGCGGGTGTTGCGCATCATTTGGCACCGAAGCTCCTGCCCTGACTCCCAGCTGTGTTGTGTCATTGGAGAACGTTCAACTCCTATCTGGGCCCTTGTCATCAGCGACGCACGCGTAGAGATGGGAAGACAGCCTAAACCTCAAACCCTAAACCCTAAACCCCAGCAGGGTTGCGCACCCCCAGGACACCAAAAAACTGTTCGACAAGAAGCTGGAGCACGTGTCGCGTCTTCTCCAGGCTGCATCTCAACCCTTCACCCTGCCCCATGAACCCTACATCTTCAACACTACCCCCAAGGCCCTACCCCTAAAATTGAACCCTACACCCTACAAATTCATGGGTTGTGACCCTTCTTCTAAATATGGGACTTTCGAAATGCTAGCCCCCTTAAACCTCACCCCTAGACCCCCTAGACCCTTAAGATCGAAGGTCATCAGGGGCTAAGAGAAGGGTCTGTGAGCACCATGAATCCTGGATTCTCAACCCGCACGACGCCGCAGGAGAAAGCTAGAGACGCAGAAGAGCTCACGCAGGCCAGCCCAAGCCCTAAACTCCCTAAACCCTGAGCCCTGAACTTAGAGCCCTGACCCCTAAACCCTACCACCAACGGGAAAACCCTGATTGCACCTGTTTTGGGGGGGGGGGGGGGGGAGAGGGGGGTGCTAAATCTCTTCATTAACGACGGTATCTAGCTCCAGGCAAACTTTAACCAACCGTTTCAAGCAGTCTTTCGGAAGCGTCCTCAAACCAAAATGAGTGCAACATGTGTTTGTTGTTCTAGATTAGGGTCTCTCTTGGGGTCCCTGTTTCACAGGTATGTTTTGGAGTTGCAATGCTCAACACCTGAAAGGGTTTCGGGCTTCGGCGGGCTTACCGTATCTTATTCGTTATAAGTGAATTCGTATTCTTTAGGTCTTCTAGTAATATGTTTTCTCTGTTGGGTCATTTACTTTGCAAACCCTCAACCCAAAACCCTCATCCTAAAGTCAAGTCGAGAGGTGAAGGCGGACTCCGAACTGAAGAACACAGCCCTCACGGCCACGACCGGAGCGTTGTCAAAGTTGGACAAGGCCAGGCGGCACACGCCCAAAGCCTTGAAAGCCCTATAAGCCCTGCATAATGTAGGGCATCAAGCCCCATAAGAGTTCAGGGTTTAGGGTGGGGCCCTGTCAACCCACTACACCCTCCCCAAACCCGAAGCAGCACGTTGGTATGCATCATAAGCCCCACAAGCACTACCCAAACCCAAGCCCACACCTATGGCATGCAGGATGAAGGGACCACAGCAGAGTGTCTAGATTTCAGGGTTCAGGGTTGGGGAAGTGGTGTGTAAGGAGTTTAGAGCTCAGGGCTTCATACTAGAGAGCCCCAAAGCCCGTAAACCCTTTTGGATTTCAAATGCCCATGAAGCGTCTGAAGCTGGCAGGAGTGCAAGGACCTGTTGGCCAATTTCGGCAAGGTCGCCAAGGAGAGGAAGAGGCAGAGGGCGGACACTCGGGTTCTCACCGCCCTCAAAGCCAGCAATTCCCGGTCACTTCGATTCGTCGATGGTTCGTGTTTCAGAAGTTTCGTGTTTCAGGGCTTCGGGTTTAGGTAGGGCCCATCCCAGGATGTCAGCTGTGCCAAAAGAAATGTCCTGCCCGTGAGACTGTTTCGGCCATGTCCCCTAACTTCATCAACCCTCCAGAGCTCCCCAACACTTCTGCCGACATGGGACTGTTTGAAGGTTTCTGGGTAGCCTCAAGCAAGGTTTAATAACTCACCCAAGCAAATATGAGACGTAAGGTGAAACTTCTAGCGACGACGGTAGGTACCCCGAAGCCCTAAGCCCTCAAAGTCTGATGTCCCCTGCCAGGTGTCAGGGCTCAGGCTCGCCTTGAAGCTTCCATGGCCAAAATCCCTGGGCTAAAACCGAACAAATCCTCATTAAATCCTGTCTAACCTCGCATAAAAACCCTAAAGTCCGCGACCCTCAATCCCAAGTGCCGAGTGCTGAAATCTGCCGTGTGCAGGCAGATCCTTCAATTGAAGGACAGGGTGTTTAGGGTCTAAGGATGTGGGGGCCGGGGGCGGTCAGGGGTTGGGTGTTTGGGAGATTTTGCGGATTCCGGGTTTGAAGTTCTGAATTTGGTCCAGTCTTAGGCTTCCCCAAACCTAGCCTGTGGTAAATTCACAGATCCGGAAGCCAGGCCCCTATTTAGGACGTTCGCGATTCTGGGCTATATTGTTTTGGGAAAGCACTTGCAGACAGAGGAAGGAAGGTGGTGGAAACTGTGCCAGGGTTCTCGACACATTACCCTTCCGAACCCTGAGGCGCTATAAGACCCGCAACCCCGCATGCCCAAAATCCTCAGGCCCTTCATAAACTATAAATCAAAATGCCTTCCCGAAGACCCAAAAACCCGAAGCTCGACGACCGAAGCCCCTACAACACCCAAACCCCCCAACGCCCCAAACCCCCAACACACCCAAACCTTCCGGAGGATGTTGCCGACATCCTCTCCGGTGCAACAGTGGGCTCCCGCACCGGCGTGAAAGCGGGCTTGTTGGCCTTGGAGTCGCTGCAAGCCTAGCCCCGTCTCTTCGTTTCACCTTTTCGCGGCTTCAAGGGCCCTAGCAGTCAACGGCTGAATCACAGAGAGTCTTCTGTCTTCGTATACGGAATAGGTACCTGATTACGGAATAGGTACCTCATTTTTCAGCTTATGTGTTTTTTCCTGAATGTCTGCTATTGGCTTCTCACAACTTTCGGGTTTAGGTTTATGTCGTCGGGTGGGGTCTCCAGACCTAATGCCACTCTCCTGAAGAGGCCAAAGGACTCACAATGACTTGCCAAATTTCGACATTTAGCACCAGGTCTTTCAGATGGATGGGCTTTGAAGGTTTGTAGTCTTGAGGGCATTGTGTGCACAGGATCTACAGATCTTTCAATTTGTGATCACAAAGCACCGCAGACGTGTCAAGTGGACATTCCAGGCCCAAGCAAATTATCATCTTCGTAAGCCGCAAAGCTAATCGAATCTATACAAAGCTGCCCTTGAGCCGAATGTGACTGCAGCCCTCCCGACAACGCATCCGCACAGGGCAAAAACAGCAGAGCTTGCGTGTGTGTGTGTGTGTTGTGAACAAAGTGTCGCAGTGTACTTCAGGATTGAAGGATGTGGGAACTGTTAAAAGCGTGAACTTGTTGAGGATGTCGCTAGGTTGTAGAACTGCCCTGTGCAAGGCTGTAGGCACTGCAGGCGTCCCAGTCCCGAAGCCGGAATAGCCTCAACCCCGCATGGGGAAGGGCCGGAACCCCAAACTGTAGTTGCTGAGGACAGCGGCTTCCCCCATTTTCCCTGAACATACCGCCCTCGTACAAGCTGTATGTAAGATAATCTTATGAAAAAAAACCCAACTGCTAACCAACCCATGGAAAACCAAGGAGGCCCTAGCAAGGACCTCCAAACCCCTCCAACAACCGTTGGGGCCGTTGGATATTTTCTTGTTTTACCCTCATTGGCTTCAAGAGGAATATGTCTAAGAGGACCACCTAGACCCTAGACGGCAGAAAGGCTTTCACACCTCAGGCCGACGGAACGCTCTTCACAGGGCCACACAACCCGACGATGAAGGCTGGGGTGTTGTAAAGTTTCCTTGAGGGGGGGGGAGTCGGTTCCGCAAGGTATCCACGTTATTGGCCACAGACAGGGCTTTGGGGTGTCTTGGATTTGAGGCTACCCTGCCCGCAACCCCCTCCCAATAGCTACCCTCAGAGTTTGTTCGCGCTGAGGGAACTTCCCAGAAGGGCAAGGCCCTCTGCACGCCGGTTTGGACGGAAGTATGCCAGTTGCTTCCCCTTCCCGCGTGAGGTACTCACACACAAACCCTTGAAGCACTGCAAAATACTAGTCTACACCTGTCTCCTCTCCTCTTTCGAGTACTCCTGCGTATAACTCGGAATAAACAGAACTACACACCAGCGTTCTTGCGCTTCCCAGCCCCAAGACATTGTGAACCCTGAGCCCAAAACCCCCTGGAGAGGCGCTCCTGGAACGCTACACGCACAGTCCTCGCCCGAGTGGAGTCCTTTTTCCGCTTCTCTCAACCCAAAGTTCCCGAAACCCCAGCACCTGTACAAAAGAGGGGTTTAGAAAGCCAGGTCATCTTGTGACTGCTAATTGATATCCGCCTAAGGTATCTTTCCTTCGGAAATTCTAAGCTCGACAGCAATGATATTTACTCTATGCCCTCAATTCAGAACCGGATGCACAGCGATTTGCTTTCCGCGCGTCTTTCCCATAATCTCACCAGTGGTGCATTTCGCACTGGGGTCCTTCTACACTCATGAGGGCACTAGTACTGTCAGAAATCCTGATAACTAACATACGAGCACCCCTAATCAGAAAAACCTCCTCATGTAAACACCACACATGGTTCAGGGACGAGGGATGCCCTCACGTGCACAGTACAAGTATGTTGCGTTCAATCAAGGGTGGCTCTCCGTGACCCCAACCTGCCAGCCTACTCAAGTTCATTTTTGAGTTCATTTTGGGTGGGGAGTAGTCAGGATGGGGGCAGCGTGGGATCCCTCGACCCAGTCGAATCCGTGGCTTTTAAGCCCATCACTCAACATCGATGATACAAGCCCTGCGTCTCAAACAATCCGGTCGCACGTTATGTCCTGCACCACTCGGCCCCAGAAACCTCATAGACCCCGAAACGCCCCGAACGTTCAAAGGCCAAGGCTCCAAGCACCCCAAGGCGAGAATGCCGGTGCCTTTGCACTCCGAGGTCACACACTCACAGAGGTTGATGAGGACGGCGAGCACCCACTCTTCCCTCAGAGCCGGGCCGCGGCCCAAAGGTGTCGGAGCTTTTGGGTTTAGGACCTGCAGGGCTTAGGTCCGACTCTCTACCTAAATAATGCAAGGGGTCCTGAGCAAATCGGCTTGAAACTTCTAGGGTTTGTGAGTTGTTGAGCTTACGGTTAAGCCACGGACTGGAATTCACAGGAGCACCCTCGGCTGTTCTGACCAAGGGTTTCGGTAGCATGGTTTTCAGCCTAGGGTCTAGTCTAATTAGGGTCTGTTTTAAATTGTGCCGTTGCCTGGGGCCGAAGGCTTTCTACCATGTGCTAATAGGACATGAGACTTGGCATCATGATCCCCGTGAACCGGCAAAATTGGAACCGTTGGAGGTACATATGCGGTGTATACAGGGTATATGGACCCAACCATGCTTCAAACTCTAGATCGCCCTCTCCCAACAGCTGGTACCCTTCAGGGGCTCAGGGTTCAGCTTCGTTTTCCGAAACGTCGGTTTTCGGAGGCTTCGTCTGCGTGTCTAGGAATGCCGTTGGAATGGACTCAGGGCTTTGCAGCTCAGTGTCAGCTGCTTTCTGCAATTGCCGGTGCCCCTTGTCGTGGCTGCATCTGCCCCATAGTGTGAACACTCGCAGTAACGACTCTGCTGCTGGTATTTTGTTTGATCTCTGCTGTTGGCACTTGGGATTCTACTGCTGCCGCAGTCATGACAATCCAAGCAGAGGCATAAATCCAGAAGTCTACCAAATGAAAGCAGATCTTGCAGTGCGTTTGCTCAGTCTCGTGGCCGTGGCGAACAGCGTCTAGGCCACGCTTCAGGCCCAGATGCGCTTTGTGCTTCTGTTCTCCCTAATTGGGGGCTCTATGGATAAGTGGCACACTAGCTGGCTGGCTTTTACAATCCTGTTCTCTCAGCGTGTTTTGCGCTAAGGGTTTCTGTTCCAAGGTGGTAGGGAACCTGGTCTAACCATCTGCATCCCTTGCTCAGCTTGCCACTGCGGTCATGTCCCTTAAGCTCCTAGAGCCCCCCCCCCCCCCCTTTTACGAGTCCCTAGCCATAGAACCCGCAAGCCCCCCCCCCCCCCCACACTTTTGATTTCGGTGAGAGTCCCTCATAAACCCTAAGGCCCTTTGATTCCTCTGGGGCCAACTAGTATCTTTTTCAAGAAATCCAATACTCTAAACCCTACACCGCAGCTGGTTGAGAGGGTTTCAAAGGGGCCAACCCAAGGTGAGGCTCAGAGGATGTCCAGGGTGTAGGCTTTGGGGGTTTCAGGGCTTAGGGTTTCGTGTTCGGAGCACTCTTAGATGTTGTTTTGAATCTCGTTCGGAGTACTGGGATGGTGTTTGAATCTGGCCCGTCAGGGTGTTTTGTGGGTGTGTTGGTCATGGTTGTGGTGTCATGTTAACCTGTTAATCCTGGCGGACAGAAATTTCTGTCCTTATGGTTTTTTCTGGTTTTTTGCGTGCAAAAGCGAGGTGTTGGTGTTCTATTGGGATAGGGGAATACGATCAAAGCGGCTGGATTTTCGGAGTCCAGGGGAACCTTCCCGAGCCCTGTGCAGAGTCTTGTGCACCAAAGAATAGGTGACCTGAGCAGAACACAAAAAAGCGTACTCTGAACCCAACGTTTTTCCAACATAATGTTGGGTTTTGTTTTTTTTTTTTTTTTTTTTTTTTTTTTTTGGGGGGGGGGGGGTAGCCCAAAAAAACGTAAACCGTACCGAATCCGTACTTTGTTGGAAAAATGTTGGGAAAAAAGCGTACCCAAAACCCAACGCAAACCCAACAAGAGGACATTTTTTCTGAAAAGGCCACTTTTTCTGCAGAATTGTGTGGGTGTCTGGTTCCACCAGGAAATAGGTCTCTGACCATCACTAAAGCGGACGGATTTTTTGCGCGGCTGGATTTTTCCGGCCTCTTCAATAGGACAGTTTTTTATGGAACGGGGGATTGACAGGAATTGTGGAGTCATGAGGTCATGTGATCGCAGTAAGAGGTCTCATAGCTCAGTTGGTTAGAGCGTACGGCCAATAATCGAGCTGAGCTGAGGTGATTGAGCTAGGTCCTTGGGAACTTTCGTGCTTTCTTATTGTGGGCTTCAGGGGTTCGAAAATTTGGGGTTTAGGGCTCTTCTGAGATGGGCGGGGGCCCTGGCTAGGTGGAAGCGACCTGCCAGGATCCCAGCAAAATCGATTGTTTCGGAGGGGCTGAGATGGCTTTTTGGGGGGTTAGGAGCGTGTTGTTGTCTCCCCTGACTGGCACAGTAACTTACTTGTTTAGGGCTGAGGGCAGTATTGGCGAAGGGGGGTCTTGAGCCCTACTGCACCCTAACCCTAAACCCTCAGCCTTCAGAAGCCTTATCAGGGACTGAAGGAGGCACGTTTTTTAAGGGACTCTCTGAGCCTTTTGGGGGCTTCTGAGGTCTGCGGGGACTACACCAGGGAGACCTTGTAAGGGTCCTCCTAGTTCCTAGTTCCCCTTAACCAACACCTGCTCTCGGAAGTGGGACTTGAAGCTGTCAGCCATCCCAGGCTGTCTTTTTTTCTGCTGATTTCAAAACAATCTGCTTCTGAAGCCCAGATTCCCACAACTCCAAGCAACTTAGAAAAGGGTATGAGTTAGTAGGGGCTCTAAGCAAATTGAAGCCCAGGCACACGGTCCTGGCAAGGGAGCCTCAATCAAGCGGGGCCCCCAAAGCATGTCCACGAGGAGAGTCGCTGGGCTTGTTAGCCTTCTTGGAGGTGCATGGTTTAGTATAGCTGGGGGGGTGTAGGGTAGCTACCATGTTAGCTGGTTCACAGTTGCAACCTTGCCTGGGCGTACTTATGAGACCCTAAGCCCTAAATCCTAACCGATTTACATCTACCCAACACTTCAAGTAGAGTCCAAGGTTGCAAGTCTAGGCTGAAGCGACAGAGAGAGCGTGTGGAGAGAGAGAGAGAGAGAGAGATTGTGACTTTTTCGGTCCAGGGCTTCGGGCCAATGAACCTTGCCTCAAGAACCCCAAACCTGCTTTGTTTTGCTGTAGCTTCCCTCAGAACCCTATGACGGGTGTCAAACAAGCTTTAGAAAAGTAGGTTCTGGGTCAAGGTGAATCCTTTCCCTGTTTGTTCGAATGCCAAACAGGCTATCGGCGCACCCAGGGATTCCACATGCTCCCTGACTATGGAATACCTCTTGAATCAATCAGAATCACCTCCATATTCGAATGGTCGCCTCATGCAAAATGTCCCGGTTCAATCTTACTCGTATAAGAGGGCCTGACCTCTTAAACAGCTCTCATCAGCACTGCCGGAAGATGAGGCCTCAAAGAGTTGGGCCCCTTCTCCCGGGTGTTGCACAAGATCGACACGGTGGGGAAGGGATGCGAGGTGTGAGGATTCAGGCTTGTCTGGCTTTCACAGCGTGGCGTTGTTCAACACAACCCCTCGCCACCCGTGCGCCCGTGCGCCCCTTCGAGTTCACTGGGGCTTTAGGAGGCAGATAGGGCTTTGGGATTTTGGGGTGTCGGATCTAAGGTACGGTTTGACTTTTGGCCATCAGTGTTCTTACGCTGAGGTGCACGAGTTGATGCAAGGTGTTTAGATTTATTCTTTGCTCGGGTTGCGTGTTCGCTGTTTTGCATTCTGTGCTATGCTTCGGTTTACGATGCTTTTGCTGGTCGAAGGCACAAGTCCAGGCAACATCTTTGATTCCACGTCATGCAACCGATCATTGAGGGCCTCACGTCTTGAAGAAAGTACTTGTAGCATTGGCGGATGGAGAAAACAAAGAGGTGTTTCTTTGTTCTTGGTGTGCCAAGACCTTGTGATGCCTGGCAGCTTGCATTCTCAGCATGCAGTGCTTGGGACACGAGTATGTTGGAAAGTTTTGGAAGTTGTTTGATTGAACTTTTTGGAACTCTTTCGAATGTGCAAGACTTCGTCGGTATGTTGTGGTATGATAATTCAATTCTCATGAAACCGCCGTTGCTTGAAAGCTAAAACACTTGCTTAACCTTAAAGGTTCAGGGTTCGCGTACAGGCTTGTTAGAATTGACTATGTTCGCTCTTCGGCTTGTAGCAGGCTCAACGCTTATACTCACTTGGATCATCCCTCAAAGCCGAACCGGACGACACCTGTGATTTTGTTTATGCGCCCATGAAGCACCTGCAGAGCCCTTAGGGCTTTTGGGCTGCAAGGGCTTAACTCTATTCCACCCGCCCTGAAACCCAAATGTGGACTTCAGGAGAGGCTCACCCACATCAAGGAGGTGTTCCTGCGGCTCGGCGATGGGCTCAACCAAAAGGACGCGTTGTCTTCGACCCATTCTCAAACTTTAAATGGGTAAGATCCACAGTGGTTACTTGATTGAACTTCTGGGATAAATGAAAACTTTAAGTGGGCCGTTTTTGGGAAGCAGAACTGGCGATGAGGGATGAACCTAACATCGGGCTAAGGTGCTTAATTGCACGCTCATCAGATACCACAAAGGGTGTTGGTTCATTTTGACAGCAGGACGGTGGTCATGGAAGTCGAAATCCGCTAAGGAGTGTGTAACAACTCACCTGCCGAATGGACTAGCCCCGAAAATGGATGGCGCTCAAGCGGGTGACCGATGCCCGACCACTGGTGCAATTCTCACCAGTGAGTAGGAGGGCGCAGAGGTTGCGGTGCAGCTTCTGGCGCAAGCCTGAGCGAAACAGCCTCTGGTGCATATCTTGGTGGTAGTAGCAAATATTCAAATGAGAACTTTGAAGGCTGAAGTGGAGAAGGACTCCATGTGAACAGCAATTGGACATGGGTTAGTCGATCCTAAGCAACTGGTCATAGCCGTATGTGGGGCACGACATGACGAGCCACAAACCCTACATCACCAGCCTAGCTAAGCCTGTTGTTGGCGGCTGATTGTTGACGACTTATATGAGGTTGAGCCAATTTGTGGGTCGTTTTGTGGCCCTTGGCCTCGTTGCGGCCGTGCAGATCATATGTCTATATATATATATATACAGATATAGATAGAATGCCAAAGGTTAAAGGCTTCAGCTGCCCAAGGAATCTGGACAAAGCAAAGCAATTGGGAAGGACTTTGTGGATAGTTACAAGGTTGCAAGCATCCTGAATCTTATGGCTTTAGCCAGTTAGGACTACAGCTTCCCCGCAAGTGACCCCATATGTCCCTAAACCCTCAGCCCCAAGCCCTAAGCTGCAAGAAGGACTTCGTGGACACGCTCCTTCCGCACGTGCGGAACATGGAGGGAGGAGAGGAGCAGGCGATCGCCAGGAGCCCCAGATCGATTCCGCGCTTCGGGTTCAGGGTTTCGAGTTTCTTTGAGTCCCGGAGAACCGGAACCCTGCTCTTCAAAAGGGTAAGCGCTGATCTCTACTTACCGTACAAACAAACCATACAGAGTCACTTAAACTCATATCAAAGACTTGCAATACATAATCGGTTTGAGCTAAAACTTGTATGCACATATTACATTTTTGGTTTGCTGTCGTCGTGGCTGCTTCCATGCATTGCGCCATGACTTACGTAGGACATCGCTCGTGGGGTTACATTCCTTCACCGAATCTGGGTGCCGAGCAGAAATGCCAAACATGTCTTGACACTGTGAGGCACGCTGGCAAAAGTCCGAAAACCTAAGAGCACATGCGAACAGTACGACAAAAGGCATGCACCTGTAAACCCAATCCAGCAGATAAGAGCTGGATGCCAGTACATCGCAGTGCCCAGGCAGAAAACCCAAACTGAATAGTGAGTGATGGTAGGGCGATCTCCTCTGTCACTGTAATATGGGAACTCCACCCATAGGCTTGCGAACGTGGCGATCGAGGCCACTGCCCTGCTCGAAACCAGTATTGCAACCAAAACATCATTGCAAAGGATAGATAGGCATCATTAGGCATTTACATGGTAACACAGCCTAAAGCCTGAACCCTCGGGACACACAGCAAAGGCCGCGTTGGAGTTGCTCCACCAGCGGATGAGCGAAGGCCATACAGGAAAATGCAGGATTCAAGTTGAGGGCGTTTCTGGGTCCAGGGTCAACAGCCTGCAGTTTCCTTACTGCGCGGCTAGTTTGGAATAGGCAGAAGGGTTTCGGGGTTTAGGGCCTGGAGGCCAGTTGAGTTATTCTCCACGCATGGGTCGTCTACTACCGCACACCAGCACAAAGAAGGATCCATAGAATCCTCAAGTTTTGCTGCCGGTTGGGATGGGAGGGCGTAGTTTTCGGGCTAGATGTCATGCAAGCCGCAGGATACTCGTCTCAGCACAGGGTTTAGTTTGAGTTCGTGGTTTTGGGTCTAAGAATCAAGTGGATGGATCGCTCGTCGTCGCTGCTGCTCCAAAACCAATGCTCAAGCAGCTCCATGCGAACATGTCGTCGGGGGCTTGGAATGACAGAGTATCTGATTCAAAGCCCTAAACCCTAAACTCCGGAACCCAGGGCCCTACAAACCAGAACCTAACATCTTCAGGCATTAACCTATATGTTACAGCCGCGGACATGCCATTGGACAGTTGTGCGGCCGGCAACACCTCCCGCCCCCGCCCACCTTTAGCGCTGGCATTCAAAGGGGTTATAAGTTATGTCTACGTGGTATGCCTTGAATTCGGGTTCGTATAGGTCTTATTGAAGTTTTAGGGGTTTTGCAGGCTGGCTTTGGGGGTGGGATCCTTACGGTGGGAGTTAGAGAAGGCGATGGGTCCAGGCTTGGTAGCCGAAGGCCCACATGTTGCAGGTCCACCTGGGGCTGTCAGGAGAGCAGGTGATAGATGTACCTGCGGATGACATCGCAGAGTATGAGCTGACCGAGGGACGGCGACTGAAGTCCTACCTGCAGCGCAAGCTGTTTTTGCAAGATGTGAGGTTGCGGCTGCTGAAGGATGAGAGCTTTGATTTAGACGACTATGACAAGGTGGAGGCACCCATGAGACTCCATCTTATCAAGCAGCCTCGTTTCCTGCCAGCTTCGCTTGAAGAAAGGGACAAGCTCGTGTTTGCCGCGAAGATGGGGTTCGCCTGGCAGGTGGAAGAGATCCTCGCTCGGCCCCAAGATCCAAATCTCCACAGCCAAGGGGTCACAGCTCTTGGCGTCGCATGTCAAGAGGGGTGGCTGGACATTGCAACTTTACTCCTGAAAGGAGGTGCCAGCAGGTACATGCGTTCCGGGCCCAAATGTCCTGCACAGACACCTCTTCGCTTGGCGTATTTTTCGGGCCATCTAAGCATCATGCGTCTCCTGCTCCAGGCTGGCTCAGAGGATGAGACTTTGACGGGCGAGGAGTCAATTCTGATCATGGCCGCCAAGAGGGGACAGATGGAGATTCTGCGCATGTTCCTCGAGATCGCCCGCAAGGACGATGTCTCACCAGAGAAGCTTGCAGCTGCGGCGCGCATGGCACGTCGCGCAGACCATTTTGAAATCGCATGCCAACTGATGGAATCTGGTGGGGAAAATGAGGCCGTTCTCGTGGGCATGCCCCCAGAGATCTCAGATGAAAGCTAGATTAATGCTAGATCTCATCGAGGCCCGAGCGGAAGCCCTGCTAGAGCTGGACTACGGCAATCTGTCTCTCGGTGACGTGTCCTTGGTTGGGCATACTGTGCATGCCGGCACCGCCACGTTTTGAGGCACAGGGTTTCCTTTTGAAGTGGTGATTCGTGCTTCGGAGGGCTGTGGAAGGGACACCCCCTTCTTCATGCCATGTACAGTGTCCGTCTCGTCTCCAGAGGTCTCCCTCCTGCCGCGCTCGATTTCTCCGAGAGCATGTTGCGACTCTTGAGCTTCAAGAGGTCGTGGAAGGGTGTTCTCAGAGCTCGCGGACTAGTAGAGTAGCAAGCTTTGCGGCTGAGGGACGCCCAAGAAAAGGGTTCAGGGCTTAGGGCTCTGCAGGGTCTGGCGTTTCCAAAATTAGGGCTGATTGGGGTTGGGGGGTTCATTGGGCTCATAAATGCTTCATGTTTAGTTCTCCCAGCCTACGGGTGTGACCCTGCTGCCACTGCTCCCACACCATGATGGGCAAGCAATTCCCAACATCGACCCTATAAAGGGCCCTTCTTAAAGGAATATACGGTGTAATATCCCATCCTGGCAGGCGACGAGGAGGAGGAGGGAGAGGTGAAGCCAGAAGTGACGCAGCAGCCAGAGGTCCAGAACTGAGATCCTTCAGTCCGTAAGCGTGCTTTCATCCCCTCATCCCAAAAGCCCTAAAACCAAAAGCTAAAACCCTAAACTGGGCCTAAACCCTAAATTCCTTACTCCGACTCCCTAAGGGGTTTGGATCAAGGCCGAGGTGGGGGAGGGGGAGCTGTTTGGGGGTCTTGGCAATCCTTCACCTGCATGTACGTATCCGTATTTGTCCGTGTATTATGTATACAGATGTACATATACAGATATGCCGGAATACAACCTCCTAGTGGCTACATTGGAGTTTCGGGACAGTGTCGTTCTCTATTTGTTTGGATTCGGGGCTACGATTTCTAGGTTGAAGATGGTTTGTTTAAGGTTCGGCTTTAGGACTCTTGAGGGACGGGGGTGCACAGAGTTAGGCAGGGATTGCAACATCAGTCGTCCTGTGTTCCAGCCGGCTTGGCCACCCTAAACCTAAGGTTTTGGGTTTTTTTGCTCCCAAGCCCCACACCCTAAGGAACATACCTCAAATCGACCTTAAGCCGCAAACCTTACTTTTTCTCAGCCAGGCCTGTGCAGGTAGAGGGTAGGATCCCTTAATTGGCCCGTCTGAGGACGGAAACCCAGCATTTCTCACAGAGACGCAGATGGGGGAGGAAGAGACTGAGAAGGCAAGATGGGTTCAATCTTCGGGCCTCGACCTGACGAAACCAAGACCTCATTGTTAGCAGGTAACCTACAAGTGTTTCAAGAGCCTATAGTTTCAAAGAATGTAGGCTTGGATTCTGCATGCAAGCACTATCAACCCATAAGCGGCTCGATTGATGGCTTCGGCCCTGAAGCTCTCAGCACATCTGCCATGGAAGTTAAAACATGTTCTGTGAGCACAGGGTTTATGGTTTGCCTACGGTATCCTTCACACCTTGAAATTATGGGACATCTTTGCCGTTTTAGAAGGTACAAGTTTGCTCCGGGTTCAGCTTCACTTCCTGCGGCTTGCAGTTTGGACGTTTTTGGCTGGTGCAGGGTTTAGGATGACCGCGTACTCTAGGCAAAGTTAGGGTTCTTGATTTGGGGGCTTAGGCGCCCTCCCAACTTAGACCCTAATAATAAATTTCCTCTTCTCTGCGGAGGGTGCAAGGCTTTTGTTTGCGGTCTGCATTGTGACACTTCTAGGCTGTTGAGCCAGCACCGAGTGCTTCATGTTGCTCCGACGGTTTGGACCGGGCTTGATGGCTTCGGGGGTTTAGCTGTGGGATCTTCTGCTACCCTCACCCTAGCACCCGATTCAAAACAAGGCTCCCAATAACGCTTGGCAGATATTTCGTTAGGGGTTCGTCGGGGGGGGGGGGAATTATTCGACCCCTTCTAAGTCCTGCTTGTACGGGGTAGTTAGAGTGAGGAGGGGTAGCATAGGATCCCATGGGGGCGGGAGCACCAGGTGAGAAAGAGAGATAGAGAAGAGAGAGAGAGACAGAGCGAGAAAGACAGAGACAGAGAGAGAGAGAGAGAGACTGACTCGATAGTGCGTGCGCCTCGGGGCGACCTCCTCCCAGAGGTCACGCGCACTCAAGCAAGCAAGCAAGCCAACACAGTTTCCTAGAGTTTAGACTTGTGGGGGTGCCAGAAATTCCAAGGAGTATCTTTTCAGTGTTTTTTCCAGTTATATTTTCTTGATGATTGCCAGCTCGTTTCCTGGGACATGCTGGCCAAGCTGCTGCTTCAAGAGGGCGTCGTGGCAAACGTCTGGGCGCTGAGAGTTTTGGTTGACCTGCCAGCTAGACCTCCTTCGGCCTTCACGTGGACATCCTTGAAATTTGAAGCCCTAAACCCTGGAACCTCAGCCCTGCAGTAATCCCCACTAGGCGCCCTGGTTCTCTTCTTTGGAAGGTCAAATTTCCGGTCGTTTGGAGTTTCAGGTTTTCTGCCACAACCCAGAACTAAGGGATCTTGGAGTCTCAGGACAGGCAGAGATACTGGCTGGACCCTAAGGACAAGGCACAGCCTCTCTAAACCAGGACCCAGAGTAGGCGCGTATATTCCCTTTTGTTAGGGTTTGGGTTCCTGTTAATTTCCAAACTACTCCCTGGGTGTGGTAAACCCTAAACCCCGTAAAAAGTGTGGGGTGTCAGGCCTGATGTGATGCATGTACCCCATAGTCGTGCTCTAAACCCCCCCCCCCCATAGAATCCGAACTCTAAAAACCAGGTTGAAGGCTCACTTTAGCTAGGGTTTAAGGAGCTTGGGTCTGCCCCAAACCTTATACTTAACACCCTCAGTCCTAAACCGTTGGACTCATAGGGCTTTTCCGCCAAACGCCCGAAGGGGCCTTCTTCCGAAAGCTCGGAACCAACCGGAACTTGAAGTCCTACTTGGAGGGAGGATCTGCCGGGTAGTTAGCAGTGGTGTTTAAACGCAACTTACCCTCACCTACTACAGCGAACCCAAACCCCAAGAGCCCTCGTTTCATCAAGCCCCAAGCTGCTCAGGTCGTGAGCGGCTTCAACGTCACTCAGGTCCGGCTTCCCGGTGCCTACTGTATGTGCCCCTTTGAGGGTCGGTTTAGGGTTTGGGGTACCCCTAAACCCTATTGCGACTGAATAGGCGGTTGATGAGGTTTCGGGGTTGACCTGTTGACCTTCCGGTTCGAAGCAGGGAGTTCCAGCCGTCCCTGAAAAGGAAAGCTTGGCTTCCCCAAGACATTCCCAAACCCTACTGTAGCCCCTTAGAGACGCTCCGGTGGCTTCCCGGGTCTTTCTCGCATCAGGGGAGCCCTGGCAGCTTGGGAATTGGGGTTTTAAGGCTTCATTCGCAACGCCCATCCGCAGCAGAAGCTCATTGGAGATCCCCGCGTCTTCTGAGACGTGACGACACCTCCCACCCCTCGAAGCCCTGAGCCCTTGAATGTTAACCTGAGCCCTAAACACAAGAACCCTGAAACACTAGAGCGCAGGCCCCCCCTGAACCTAGAACCGTAGAGCCTGAGCCCTCAAGCCGATGTGAGCAAGAGGTCCTCAGCGTCCTGGATCTGGAAAAGATCACACCCTTGCAGGCCATCTTCGAGAAACAGGCTCGGGCTAGACAGGAGCGGACGGAAGGATTTAGCATGTAATGGTTCAGGACCCTCTGGACCCCATTGCATACGTCTTCACGTCATCCTATACAGTTTCGTTCGTGACTACCCACAACCTGGGAAGGGGTTGCTTGGGCCTTTGGGCTCAGAGGATCCGCGGGGGCGCGGGTGAGGATTTAGGGTTAGGCACTCTCCATCCTGCATTGTGCCACAGACGACCCGAATCGAAGCCCTCATGCACGCACGCTAGTGCCCCAAACTTGACCCCAAACCCGAATCGCTGTATCCTGAACCTGAAACCCCGAATATTGCGTATGAACTGGAACACTAGTACGCAGCTAAGCTAGGTAATCGTGATTCTTCGTACCCCTGGGTAGGAGTGGCAACACAGTGCAAGTTTCGGGTAAAGATGCTGAAAATTCCGTGAAGTTCATGGATACTTTGGGCTTTGGGGCCTTCGGGCTCTTGAACCTTCAGCCCCAAGCCGTAAAACCCTGAACTTATCTCCGCCGTAGGATTTCGTGGGCCCCCCCTGTCCCCTCCAGGGAACGGTGGACCTTGAACGCTTCGTCATGATCCTCCAGGGCCAGTTCCAGCATGTGACTCCCCTCATGAGCTGCAGTGGTGTGGGCTTAAGCGTGTAGGGTTTGCCAGGGTTTAGGTGAGGGTTTAGGCCTAAAGCCCAGACCTTTCAACCCCTCAGATTGCTCGAAAGAAGCTCGTCTTGACCCTCCATACTAAAGCCGAGCCTCAGGTTGGGATTGGAGGGCGCCAGAGATGATTGAGGGTCTGCCCTAGGAAGCCCCCTAGGATCCAGGGGTTCGGTTTTTCCACCCGTGCAGGGGTTTTAGATTTTAAGTCAGCTTTCTTCTCGCCCGCGATTGCTCAGGGTTTAGGGCCCGTCGGCCTCCTGCTCAAGTTGAGAAGCTTAAGTCCTTCTTCCTCGGGCTTAGGGTTTGCGGTTTTGGGGGGTTTAGCATGGCATTGGGCTTCGAGAGGCACCATGACGTCGGAGCATCCTGGGCCCCCCAGAGAAGTTCAGTGCAGGTATTTGAGCTGATCCACCTCTTCCAGCTCTACGATGATGCCAGGGCACCCAAGAAGCTGGTGACCGAGAGGCTAGATAAGCCCCCAAGCCTAAACAGCCTAGACCCTGAACCGCAAGTCTGCAGAGTGTAGAGTTTAAGCTGCAGGTGCCTAGCATGCATGGCCCAGGGTTCAAGGCTAACCCCTAGACCCTAAACCCTTTTCTCAGTAGATGCGTCAGATCACTTCATCTTCGAAGTACCTTGTGTGGTCTGAA